AAGCAAATCGTCGAGGAAACAAATATTACACACTGAGTGTAACAGTAAACTAATGTATGGGACACACCTTAGAAACACTTAATGTAGTGATATACTTAATAACCGATTTATAACCGATCATATCCTTGACGCTCCGTTGGGACAGTTACCATGGCAACATACGGGGGAATGGTGAACTTATACATTATACAATTGAAAAGTGCGTGTGTGAGCTGTACTCACTGTACTGATTGTCCATTATCTAATGCTGTTAGCGAGTTTTTATGGTAGTAATAGTATGGACTATGGTTGTTACCAGATGATGATGTTAAACATTTAAATGTATACTTTTCTATTTATTGGTAGTTGTTCGAATGATTATTGTTATTTGTTAGAACTTGCAGTTGTAGCCGACTTTGTTTTGCTGCCAGAAGTAGTAATGATTTGAAATGGCTGTTGTATGGTGTCACAACTAGTAACTACAAAGAGTGACCTATTTTTGTAGGAATTGTTTCCGTACGTTTTAAAAAAATGTATTAATGAACAAACCTTTACATTAATGAAATTCCCGGATATAGCATGTGTTTATATGAACTACATGCCGAATGCCGATATGTGTGGAGTGTGGTTGCTCACTGTATATGCAGAGTTGGGATGTGACTGAAAACATTGAAGTAAGTATTGAGGTTTATTTTGAATCATGTAAATTGTAAATAGCTTTAATATTGTGGCATCTGTGGAGTTATGTTAGGTATTAACTATTATGCCATGTGGTGAAATTTGTAGAAGGAAGTGGTTTACAGATTTATTTGTAAATTAACATCAAATTTCCCAAATCAGGTTTCGTTACCGTTGGAAGATTTCATGTACATAGTACATACTATGCAAAATGTGGAGTCAATTGTACGCTGACGAAAGCTGCAAAACAACTGAGCCAGCTCCACAAGCACGACCTGACTGAAGAATTAAATCTTATTTGTCTGTGAATATTTCGCTACGTAGCTTGTCAGCCTTCAAGTTCATTTTGGTGCCAATCTGAATAACTGTACAGCCAGTGCTGAAAAATCCTTTAGCAAACTGGAGCTATTTAAAAACTCCGAAGCACAATGGGTAACTAAACGATAGATTAAGCAGTTTACAGTTTAGCCATCATCTCAACAGCAAGACAAGTGCTTGCTTTGCACTATATTTAATTTTAGAATTTTACAAATCTTACAACAGTAGCACGATATTTAACAACTTTTGGACCTTATATACCAAGTATTTTATTACCAGGGGCGCCATATTTCTAGGGGGCGCCAAATTATGAGGAGGGGCGGCAGAATTTTGGCGCCCCCCTCTCACGGCGCCCCCCCCCCCCCCCCCCGCATAGCGGGGTCTGCGGGGCCTTACGTTACGCCACTGTTCAGGGTGTGCTGTAGGCTGACTTTGTCATCTATTTTTGATAGGTATCTCATGGTTTTTGAGTGGGGGCATAAGACTTTTTTTTTTTATTTCAAAATTCAAATAAACTTTACATCAATGTATTACAGTTATATTCTATAAAAAGACCACAATATCTCCTGTGAAGCAAAAAAATGGAAAAAGAGAGCTAGAAAAATATTCATGATACTCAACACTACCAGACTCAGCTGGAGTGAGAAACAATATGTAAAAACATCAAAGTAAAATTTATTTCGGCTGAACCAAAACACGGTGGTAAGACCATAATAACATTGGTGCCGTAAATAACATTGGTGCCGTAAAACATTGACAGCCATAAAGCAAGATTGGTTTTTATTAAGGAGTCAAATAGAATATTAAGGGCACGGTGAAAGAAGGCATCCTTAATTATATTGCCTTTGAATATCAAATAAACTAAACTATCGAGAAAATGATCAAATATTAAATTAAGATATTTAATGATCAAAAACATTACATCAAATGGTTAAAAACGCCCAAATCGATAGGAGAGCTTTTCAGCATTTATTACAATCATGATAGTAATTATAAAAAGTATCTTTTAAGTTTGCTTTGGATATCAATTTTATCAAATTAATAAAGTTTCTAAGCAATTTCGCCACGGTAGTAAATGAAATAAAATAAACTTGATTGACGATTTCCATGTCAATCCGATCCTTCGCAGCTCAGTGCAGCTTGGCCCAGTGGTTCCAGTGGCGTAACAAAGGGCTCCACTGACCTTGCTGTGCGAGGGGCATGAACGACGTTTAAATGTGGGATTATTTTTAAAAAGCGCTCATAACTAAAATTTTAACTGCGCGTTTTGTCCTAAAAACAAATTTTGCCGGCGCGGCGTATCCAATATCCTCTAAAATTACTTAATTTGTATAATTTTAGGGAGGTACGCTAAAAGGGCTGGAGGGGCTGGTGCCAACAGAGGCGCTTTTTCGGTGGGGGCGCCAACATGCAACATTACGCCACCCAGTAATTTGATTAAAAAAAAAAACAATTTAAAATTTTATCCTTTATTTTACAATCATGATATAATAATATTTAAAAGCTTCCGTTTTGAAAGTTCTAATTTTAATATATCCACATTTTTATTTAAAATTTAATTTTATGTATAAATCAATAACTGGCCGCCAAAGCCGCGCATTCTTGAAAACAAGATTAACTTGTTTATAGTTATACTTGTATCACGTTGTGATCCCCACGGTCGTTTCACTTTATATTATAAGGAGTAATAAAATTTCAAGGAATACAATATATATATAATTCAAACAATTGAAACAAATCAAATTGGCGGGCAAAAGATCCGCTTCATGATATATTTAAAACAATACCAATCATCAGTGCTGCTCCTGCTGTTTCTACAAGGACGTGCCTGCACACACGAAGAATAGCTTTAAAAAGTATGGAATTATCACTATTCATGGAATTATCGTTAAGAACGCACTTATATTAATGCACAGAATGAAATACTTCCCTGAAACAGTGCCAAAATCCAACTCCAGCCGTGAGACTAGCTCTGACTGGCTTCTTACATACGGTAGTAACACTTTTAGACAATCAGTATTTTTCAAAGGTCCACTGCTTGCCATCACTGAAACAATTATTTTCAATAAACATTTACAAGTCTAATGCAAAACGTGTGCTATTGGAACACCATTCAAGAGGCAATAACGAGGAAAGCTAGCAAGCCTTTTTACTGAATAATATTCCAGGTTTAAGGAAATCTCAACGGCCACAAAATCACACCTCACAACATAACTTAGTAATTAGTATTAGTAAACTATCTAAACAACATGAGGCATACCACAAAATAATTAAAAACGAGCCACATTCAACAAACATCTTAGTTACAAAAGCAGTGGCGTAACGAAGGGCCCTGCTGACCCCGCTGTGCAGGGGGGCGCCGTCTTAGGGGGGCGCCAAATCGTCGTTTGAATGTGGGACAATTTCGAAAACTTAACTAAACTACTAGCAAAACTACGCGTTTTGCTCTAGATACACACTTTTTTAGAGATTTTACCGGCGTATCCTCTAAAATCACCTAATTTGTTCAATTTTAGGGAGGGGCACCAAAAGGGGAGGGGGCGCCAACAGGGGGGGCGCCTTTTCGGCAGGGGGGCGCCAACAGGCAACGTTACGCCACTGTACGAAAGCACTTCAAAACTAATAATTACCGGCCTCTTTTGAAATCAGAAAATGTTCACTGCCAGACCTGCTACTAGTTTACTGATAATACCCCTGACCATCGCTCAATCAAAGCCTTATCAGTACAACACGCACAATCACATATCATCAACTTTATCTCAGCACATCATAACAACAGCCACGGGCACGGACTGTCACCGCTCACTTCAGACACACACACCCACACACCCACTTACCACTACACAGTACCACACAGAGCTCAGCAATCAATTCTGAACGGGTAGCTGATTTTGATAAAATAACATCGTGATCCTGCGTGATCAATTATTTTAACTAGCAGGAACCCGTCTAACCCTAAAATGGTGTCAAGACTGAAGGGACTAAAACAATTATTACCTATTTAATTCGCGTTTTTGACACCACTTGGGGTACCAAATTTTGGGCTCTAAAACTCCTATTTCTTGGCCTATTTTTTATTTTTTCATGCTGATTTGGAGGCCATTAAAGCATTTGACCCAGTCAAAAAAGATTCAGTTGTATATCTTTGACTGTTTTTGAAGAAAACCGCGTTAAAGTTGATGCCGTGGTGTCAGTAAAATGGCACAGATAAATATATATATATCGTCTCGCTTTATATATAGTAAGATTGAAGTTCAACGGCTGCACCCCTGACTTTTTAACTCAATGAAACAATAAGTTTTGAATTAGTGTGAAAATAAAAGAGATATTTTAATTGAAGTTCAACGGCTGCACCCCTGACTTTTTAACTCAATGAAACAATAAGTTTTGAATTAGTGTGAAAATAAAAGAGATATAATTTATTTTATTATATCATATATAATCTTAATTAAGTGACAGTAAGTATTATTATTTTAACTACAGATTATATTATTTCAGTTAGTATCGACATGAATGTTACGATTGCAGTTTATTTATATATTATATTGTACTCAATAAACCGGTTTCAAAACCCTTAAGGGTGGCCCTTGGGTCTTTAAAACAAAAACAAGCATGTATATCGATTGAAATTATCAAGTAATTTTGCAGTGAAATTCTTTTGCACTTTAGCGACAGTGAAAAGAAATTATTATAGCGACGAATCTTTATTTATTATTGTGGAACTGCGACTGCTCTTTATTGTTTTAACTGTTTGTATGTTTTGAGAACCTTGATATTGACTGAGATCTGACCACATAGAATAGTTGATAACAAATGTGTAGTATTTTGTAATCAAGTCCATATGTTGCAGCCACTATCAGCAATGCAACAGTTTTAGAAGTCTAACGTATCGTATAATTTCAAAGATAGTACTTTAAATGGATTTTACAAATTATGTAAATTATAGTTCGAGGCCTTAATGTTACATTCATTCCTCACTTTGGTGTTTGATGAATATATTTATTAACTTATTATTTTCCAGGAGGAGATATGTCTCATAACCATGAGGAATGTGCTGATACCCATACTCCCCGCCATTGTGTCGAAACTCGCCCTCCTACAGCTTTTATCATAGAAGAATCCACATCAGGTAACCTGGGGGGGGGGGGGGTAAAAGTCAGTACCCATACGTTGGCCTTAATAGCTCAGTCACTGAGTGCCCAATTGAAATAATTCTTTTTGGCATGACTTACTACCACCACTGGTTCGAGGGATTTGTCAAATCGAAAAATATGTGTGTTATTTTTTCAAATGAAGGTTCATTTTCGCATTTATTTGATAGTTTGGATAGTCGGATCGAGTCAAATTTTATTGAATGGTGTTTGGCCATTTAAATTACGTTTGTCTTGAAAAAATGAGAGTTCTAGCTTCTCAGATGACCAAGATATGAAGCATAACGAGTTTGTTCACTACGTGTGATCAGATGATTGGGTTGAAGCTAGATACGCATTATGGGAATCGTGCAGAGAGCCCAATTACGGTGTCGTAATTGGGTAATCATTGAGTACCCAATCAATTTTGCTAACGAGATAAACAAATTGCTTGATAACTTCATCATTTTAATTTCGTTTTCGCACCATCTTTCAGATTATATTTCGGATTAAATGACCTATTACAATATGTTAGTACAACGGAGTCTCTAACATGTTCACAAACACGAGTATAAGCAATTCAATGTTGATTGGGTGTGGCCTCCAAAAATCGAATTTTCAAATTTTTGTGACGGAATCCTCGTACAAGTAGGTACAGTATGTCATCTGCAATTTGCAAAGCAATAACTCTCAAATATAAAACACAGCGGTGGTATAAGACCCAACGTATGGGTACTGACTTTTGGCCCCCCCCCTGTATATAATAGATATCTCGTCTTGCTTTATATATTTAGTAACATTCGTAAATGCACCTAGCCTGTCGACCGTACAAACATAAAACATTTTAATTCTTACAATCCTTTAGTTCAAAAGCGGCGCCGATTGACTTTTCCGTTAAGTGGAATTGGAAAAAACTACGTATCTGAGTTGGATGTTGAAGATGCAATTCGTTCCATTAATCCCACTATTAAAATTGGAGTTAAAATCACTAGCTCCATGGTAGTTGAGCAACTTGGTATTCTCGTCGACATAGACCGAAAAAAGTCCTTAAACAAAAAACTGAATAACTACGTGAGTGATTAAGTTATTCTCAGTGAAAGCAGTATTAATGACATTCTCACTTTTCAGAACTAAGTGCCTAATATAATTAAGATAGAACATCTAAACAGTTTTATTCCTGTTCCATATGATCGAGGATAGTCAGGGCTACAAAACCTGACCAAGTTTAGCTCAATCCAGTACTGCGCGTTCAAGATATGAGGTTAAATATACCAAAAATAGAGGTTTTCTGGTGTGACATCATTGTAAATTATTTGGAGTATAACCTCAATATCTCACAAACTATACATTTGTGGTCTTTCTGAGTTACACTATCTGTTTCCTTTGGCAATTTCGGTTCAGAGTCAATTAAGTTTGAAACAAAATCTCAGTATATGTGAAAGGACTGAGGATATCAAGTTTGTAAAAGCGCGCGCGCGCGCGCGCGCGCACACACATATAATGACCTCATATCTTCCACATTTAACGATTTTTTATAGAAATTCTTTCACCATCCTGTAGCACTCATGTGCTGAGTAGGATAGCATTCAAATCATGTCTTTAAAAGATTTAGATAGATACTGAGGGAGAAAATTCATGTTTGTAAAAGCGCGTGCGCGCGCGCGCGCGCGCGCATGGCCCAGACTATATCAATGGACGGCCACGGGAGGATAAAAGTACTTTCATACACACCAGCATGCTCATTGATGGCTTAAAATGAAGCTAAGACATACTCCTATCAGATCCACCATAAGTTAGATACCATAATAATCATTAAATGTGTCTAAAATGAGGAAGCTTTGACAAGTGCGAGTGGTTTTGGCAAATTTTGGTATAAAATGGGCCCTGAGATCATATTTTTCTCATTAAAATCACATATATCACGAATATTTATGTGTGTTGGGTGTATCCTCATTGGTATCAACCATTTCAATCATCTAGAGCAGCTTTCCTGATTCTTTATCTCATGAAAATGGGCAAAAAAGCTCATAAATAGTCCAAAATCGGTCATTTTCGCCGCTTTAATAACCTCATTCCTGGCACCCAGAACACTTTGGGTACTCAAAACATGATTTTTCGGATACCTCAGACCCCTAACTAGCACATGGAGCCAGAAAGAACAGCATGTAGGGACTTCTAAATTTCCATGGTTGAGAACCCAATGTCACACTATTCGTTCATTAATCCTGCTTTCACTGTTCTTCGTTTTCAAGTTAAGCCTATTATATTAGGGCCTGTCATGATATCATGGATCGCTTAGGTTCCACCAGGATCTGGTAGTCCTCATAATTTTGCGGCCTCTATGTATCGTTAACTCGCACAACTCCGTAAGACCCTTGTGAGTTTGGCATGTGAAAATTTGCAGCCTTCCAGACATTGATTAGGTTAACGAGGTGTCGTACGTCACCTCAAGATCGGGTGACAGGGGGCTGACCAGGCCAGAACCCAATTGATTGTATTGGGTCTGAGGTCACGTGATTATGAGCCTGAGGGCACGTAACTGTGACGTCACCAGAGCTTGTTCTCCATTTCCTGCTAATTGGACCAGGTGAGCTTTCATGCTTGAGAATGTGGGTGTAAGTACAGCTGTACTGTAGTTTATATCTAATCACTCCCTATTATAGAAACCGTAAATTTATTTTCTGACAGAAGCTAGAAATTTACCAAAATATCGACATTGTTATAAACTTATTTTGATGACCATTCCTAATAATATATAGCTAAGTTAGATGTCATAAATTCGTTAACTAGCTTGTGAGTATAGAATATAGATAGATTAGGGAGCGACAGGCTCGTTAGGCAAAACAATAGCGTCTACATTAATAATCTTAAGTATTAAGATCTAAACAGACTCTTCTTCATGATGTTGTTACACGAATTATGAATTAGGGATGAACTGGTTCATAGGATTAGGGTAATAAAAATTACTAGTTGGTTTGTGTGTAGATAGTAGCTCTGTGCGGCTTCTAGTGATAATAGAAAATTATTATAATTATTACGTAAGAATTATTACGTAAGAATTATTACGTAAGAATTATTATAAAAGTTATGTTTATATAGAAACAAGGAGTGTAACTTACATATTGAGGCACTTTTCTTGTACCTATCGAGAATGACTCGGACCGAAAATTTTCTAAATCGAAATTATTTTCAAAGTTTTTCTGGAAACTACTTTAGTACTTTTGTTCATGTTTCATGCTTCCCTGAGCATTATGAGCCAAAAATACTTTTTCGGACCGTACCTACATTCGAAAGGCTGTGGATGTGATAAGTTCAATATAATTATAAAGAACGTGATATTTTGCCCTCGGATTTATATATATATATATTAAAGGAAAATGCGCAAATTTGGTCCTCAGAGAACTGGAATAATCGCAATTTGTCGCGAAGATCTGTTTGTCTATCTCGGCAAACGTCAAAAATCGCGATTTGTCGCAAGGAGTGAGAAAATCGCGATTCTGCACGTGCCGCGATTTCCTTTTGATCTTGCCACTCCTGTCTCTTGATTGATAGATTGATGATTCATGCTTATAATGATGATCAGGAACACATCTGGTCCAATTAGCGGGAAACGAAGAACAAGCTCTGGTGACGTAACAGTTACGTGCCCTCAAGGCTCAGGCTCGTAATCACGTGACCTCAGACCCAATCAATTGGGTTCTGGCCTGGTCAGCCCCATGTCACCCGATCTTGAGGTGACGTACGACACCTCGTTAACCCAATCAATGTCTGGAAGGCTGAAAATTTTCACATGCCAAACTCACAAGGGTCTTACGGAGTTGTGCGAGATAACGATACATAGAGGCCGCAGAATTATGAGGACTACCAGATCCTGGTGCAATCTAAGCGATCCATGATATCATGACAGGCCCTACTATTATATTTTGATGGGAAATCTTTTCTTTGATTGGTGTGGAATTTATTCGTGTCTGATTGTGGTGATGTTTTAATTCATTATTGCAAAAGTTTGTGTAAAAGTGTGAATGCGACTACTGTCCAAATAAGGGTAATGGCTAAGGTGTGGTTTGTTTTTGCCCGATTAAGAACTGCCAGTTGCATTCTAGGTTCACTGCGTTAACAAGATTAAAAATATTCAATTTTCAGCTAAGTAAAAGAAAAAGATTGAAGAAACATATTACTGCCAACGAAAATGTTACGGTCTTGACAGAAACAGATGGAGTGCGAAACATTCAAGTGAGTTCGCTGGATATTGGAAATTGTTGTATCTTTGTATGATATAAATTAATGACTTAGGTTTTGAGAGTTTACTACCACGTCTAATATGTTTCAAGATGTTTTAATGGTTTAACATCATCTTATTTTAGAACGTTCAACAGAAAGAAGACGAAAATGAGATGGAACAAAGCTTCAGTACTTCCTCAATTGAAAATGTTTCGGTAACATGCGCCATAATTGGCCCAACACGAATACCTTGGGACCGGTTGTCTCCTAGCGGGAAAACAAAGCGAAAACAGAAAATCGGACGTAAAATAGCTGATGCTATAAAGGAGGTAGTTATTGCCATTTTGATTACACAAGCTCATTACTTTGGTACTACATTTTTTACAAAATTAAAATTGATTAGTAGGAAAAAGTTTATATTAAATGTTATATAGTCTAAAGTACATTTTAAATAAAATAGAAAATAAAATTTATCCATCTCCAGATTTCTGAGATTTCTGAGGGGGTGCTGAAAACGGGAGATGTCGTGAAGGAGGTGATAGCACAGTTATTACCTGATTTGGAACTTGTGCCGAAGAAGTCAAGGGATTTGAAACCCGAAGCTACCCTTGTACACACACAGAATCAGGACTAATGAGCCACAGAGATATTCATAATTTGATATATGTCACAACTTTATGGATATATTTAAGGATTTACATTTTACATTAATTGTTATGTTCATTTCATTAAGTTAACAATTTAAACTTTTTTTCGGGTGTACCGAGCTAGCTCGTATTATTGCATTATGTTTGTGACATTGACAACTGCAATACACAAGTATTTGTGTATATCTAAAATTGGTGTATAATTTTAACATGATATCTACAATGACTAATGAATGGATTAACTTACTTAAATACGTTTTCATAAACTTCAAACATTATAGGTAATAGTTAAAACATGTCTATCAGCAGCCAAAGTCTTGTCGATGGAGTTGTTCCAGAGGACTATTTTAGTTTTGAAAGTATACTGGCGGAGCAGCAAACGATTGCATGTGTTTTAAAAAAGTCTATGTTCAGACTGGGTAATTGGTTCAGTGAAATTGAAAATTTTCTATTAGAAGTTAAATTCTATCAGATACGTTTTCAGTGTTTTGTATCAATCTTGTTAACGTTCCTTTATTTTACCAAAGCAAGCACACCACAATGATCATTGATTTTCTAATATTTGTTTCTTCAGGTTTTTTAGATCCAAGCAATCAGAATGAAAATCTTGTGTCTGGTAGCAAAATGGAGCTCCCTCTGTGGATGGCATCATATCTGGCCAACAAGGAGTTTGTTGCTTGTGAGCTTCCTAAACCTTATCAGGAAACTTCCAGAAACATTCTCCTAGCCGACTCCTCAGTTGTTGATCTTTTCAAACAGGTTGGATTATAGAGAATTTAGATTCTGTTATGATTCATGTTTTAAATTGAAATTTATAATGTATCACATACAATCCGTTAGGGATTGATTTTTCTGCTTGACATTGTATTTTAACTTTTTTTAAATACCCACACTGTTTTGTTAAATCGTCGGTTACTTCAGCGGAACTTTATTATCAATATTTATATCTTAATGTTCAGGTGATGTATTTCTACGAAACAGGAACTAAACTGATCAAGATTCCACACCCGGAGTGTCCCCACGTGTCCGTCTCTCTTGTCAAAACGTTTGTGGGAAGATTCAAGAAAATAATGGACAGTTCACAAAACTGCAGAAACCAGGATCTCAGTAACATGTGCCAGAAACTGGACGTGGACGAGAAGAAACTCTTTGAAATAAACAGACTGAGCGTTGAGCTGTTAGATAAGTGGGAGAGAAGGGAGTCTAATATTATTGTTCCCTCTAATTTGGTGCTGCAGAGCAGGAAACGTAAACGTGACCAGGTCTTTTGAGATTGGAATCTTTGAGTCACTTTATTTGAAATGATGATATACAGGGTGAGTTGAAAATAGTGTGTGGAATGTCCAAATTTTGAAAGGGGTATTGCTATTAGTTCGTAAACGTTACACATTTCATTGTTGCATCTCATTCGATTCTAACTCATAATTTGGATGATTTTTGGCAGTTTTCAAAAAATTCGTAAATTCGTCTGGGGTTCTCAAATGTATATTCGTGATTAACTAGTGAATTTGCTTTAATCTTCTGATGGTTCTGTTCTTAAGAATGTATCAAATAAAATTCAAGATTTTGGGAATTTTGCCGTCAATTGAATAGTTTAATTGTACTATTGCAAAAGTAAAATATGGTTTCGTATCTATTTTACATTTTCAATTATTCCATTAATAGTTAAAATGTAGTAAAATCATATCGTTACTTTGAGTTATGAAAATTTATTTGATTTAGTATAATTTATCAATCATACGTCATATCAAAAACTAATTTTGTACTTAACATATTATATTCTTTCTAGTATGTTCGAAGATACAACTATTGATCTGGAGAATGTAACAGGTGGGGGTGATACTGACTCTTACATATGCAAATCTAACAAACATAGTCCTGACATCTCATCAGAATCATAAGTCAATGTAACTGGAGAGATGTACTGTGTTTTTAGGATAATTGGTAAAAGCTTCAATATTATATTGGGATTTTCTGTTTAATCCTAGTTGAATGTTCGTCACAATTAGCTTAGAACAAGTGAAACTGATATACTTTGTGCACCAAAATAAAGATAATGTTTTAAAGTTAACAGAAAATCTTCAATAAATCTTCAATACGTACTATAAAATCAAAATAGCACGGTCTGGCATATATGAGTTAAATATATAACGTTATGTTATGAATGAAACGACAGTTTTTATAATTTAGTTATTATATCATGCTTGCCACGACTATTCTCTATATTCTGTAAAACGAATCAAGGGGGTCAAATAATTCGAATTTAGTCGTAATGATGTTCAATACTCATAGTGCACATTTTTTCATGCAAATTTTTTGTTTTCACTAAATCTTTCTGTCTTATAATTTTCATGCATCTCCCAGGAATTCGTGCATTTTTCAGGCAAATTTTGATCGTGTAGTTTTGGATACTTGCGCATGCACGGTTTGATCTAATACAAATATGGCTATCTAGTTTTTAAAATTTTTTGATTTTTTCATGCAACATCAATGATTGACTAAAATCATGTAATATCCAAGAAATCGGACAACATGCAGTATGCATTATGGTAGACAACTTTTGGGTTGGGGTTAGACTTAAGGAACCCTTTAAATTACCTTAACCTTAAAAAGTAGTCTACTCTCTGCTAATGTTTAAAAAGAGTTACCAAGCTAAATCCATCCAAGTCCTAATAAAATCTCAACTGTGCTCTGGCGGTGAGCTCTACTTGCAACATGAAGTTATGACAATGTCAGTGTTCCAGTCGTTTCTGGCGTTTGAAGGACCACGACCCGAATGGCACCCTATTATGCTGTCCCCAAAAGTCGCCGCTTGCGTATACCCGTTTGAATTTCTGTATGTCCAAATCGCTTTTGTCCATCCCTGATATCTTGTGAATCCATCCGGGCAACTACCACCGCTGCCTAAGATACAATACGACCCCTCCGGCCAAGAATCTTCTTCCACTTTCACCGTCAAGTCATCTACTTCACTCTTGAGAGACTCTACCTCTGTTTGAGACTCGTTCTTGAAATCTTCCATCTGGGTAAGAGCTGTAGCCAGCCCGCTCGTCAGCCCTATAATTTCCGATGTAGTTCCATTCAAGTTCTTGTCTTGTTCGGTCTGTCCCTCTTCTAAAGCCCCGATCTTAGCAGAAAGATCGCTCGTCAGCCCTATAATTTCCACTTTAGTATCACTCAAGTTCTTGTCTTGTTCGGTCTGTCCCTCTTCTAGCTTGTTGATCTTGCTTTTGAGCTGATCGATTTCTGTTCTGGCTTCAGTAAGTGAGGTTGTGATGGCACTGACTTTGGTAGCTTGTTGGGTTGCCAGTTCTGTCAGGGTGATTGTGTTTTCCATTGATGCGAGAAGGAGGTCCTTCAAATCGTCCACGGGTAGTGCAGGGTCCTGTAAAAAGGTCCTGGTTATTTGATCTTACCATCTTAAATGACTAAATTTATTTTTGCTATGTATACTTATTCAGAACCTGAAAGAGGGAAAAGTTGTCTGACAAGTTAAAAATTATTTTGACCTAAATAGCTTTAAGCTTACCTTGCTAGGTTTGCTAGTTGCTAGTGCAATGTAAGCAAAAAGCACGACCAACTTAATCAAACTCATACTGTTTTGTTGACTTAACTGAGAGTTTTAAAAATCATGTAAACCATATTATACCCGATATTACAATGAATCTCAATATAATATTCTTCCGATATTTGATCAATAAATTGCATTTGCAGCAAGGGGCCATTCCCATATTACTTGAGCCAGATGTTGATCTTTTCAGAGTCCCTCGGCCTCTCCCACCCGTATTTTGTAAGCTAATTAACACACAGCTATTGTAACTTTTCCTGACCCCCTCCCACTAGGCTGGCTCAAATAATGTGATAATATTATTAGGTTCAGTAGGTAGGTATGCTCAAATAATGTGGTAATATTATTAGGTTCAGTAGGTATGCTCAAATAATGTGATAATATTATTAGGTTCAGTAGGTAGGTATGCTCAAATAATGTGGTAATATTATTAGGTTCAGTAGGTAGGTATGCTCAAATAATGTGGTAATATTATTAGGTTCAGTAGGTAGGTATGCTCAAATAATGTGATAATATTATTAGGTTCAGTAGATAGGTCTGCTCAAATAATGTGGTAATATTATTAGGTTCAGTAGGTAGGTATGCTCAAATAATGTGGTAATATTATTAGGTTCAGTAGGTAGGTATGCTCAAATAATGTGGTAATATTATTAGGTTCAGTAGGTAGGTATGCTCAAATAATGTGGTAATATTATTAGGTTCAGTAGGTATGCTCAAATAATGTGGTAATATTATTAGGTTCAGTAGGTAGGTATGCTCAAATAATGTGGTAATATTATTAGGTTCAGTAGGTATGCTCAAATAATGTGATAATATTATTAGGTTCAGTAGGTAGGTATGCTCAAATAATGTGGTAATATTATTAGGTTCAGTAGGTAGGTATGCTCAAATAATGTGATAATATTATTAGGTTCAGTAGGTATGCTCAAATAATGTGATAATATTATTAGGTTCAGTAGGTAGGTATGCTCAAATAATGTGGTAATATTATTAGGTTCAGTAGGTAGGTATGCTCAAATAATGTGATAATATTATTAGGTTCAGTAGATAGGTATGCTCAAATAATGTGGTAATATTATTAGGTTCAGTAGGTAGGTATGCTCAAATAATGTGGTAATATTATTAGGTTCAGTAGGTAGGTATGCTCAAATAATGTGATAATATTATTAGGTTCAGTAGGTAGGTATGCTCAAATAATGTGGTAATATTATTAGGTTCAGTAGGTAGGTATGCTCAAATAATGTGGTAATATTATTAGGTTTGTTCATAAAATCTGAACTGATAAAAAAGTCAATAATCTTGGTTTTCAACACTAAGTCTCGCTTGAATGACTTAAATGTACATCTTTGTTGGGTATATTTTAATGTCGAAGCGTGTAATAAATGTTAGAATTTATTTATTATTTATTAGGTTCAGTAGGTAGGTGTGTGAACGGTCAACAAGTCAAAATATAACTGAACATCTAAAACGAAGTAAAAGAGAGAGTAAATGATAACCTGTTAAAACTGAAATTGGTTATAACATATTATGTCAGTTCGACGGAAATGCGGCAAGTTGATTAGCCTCCTCGTGGGCTTACAAAATTAAACAAAATTAAACAACTTTTAACAAAATTATCGGCTATAAGAAATTCAGTGAAAACGGCTATTAGCCGGTTATAAGCCGGCTATAAGCCGGTTATAAGCCGGCTATAAGCCGGTTATAAGATATTAACTCAGTTCAGTACGATATCTAAACTTTCGATACCTAAACAGCTAATAGCCGGCTTATAACCGGCTAATAGCCGTTTTCGCTGAATTTCTTATAGCCGGCTCCTGACTATCGTTCAGTACGATGAAGTTGAGTTAATATCTTATAACCGGCTTATAGCCGGCTTATAACCACTTTCGATACCTAAACGGCTAATAGCCGGCTTATAACCGGCTAATAGCCGTTTTCACTGAATTTCTTATAGCCGATACCTAAACGGCTAATAGCCGTCGCTCAACAACAAATGTAAGCGGCTACTAACCGGCTATAAGCCGGCTTATAGCCGGCTATAAAAATTGTAGCCGGCTATAAGCCGGTTTATAGCCGGCTTATAACCGGCTTATAGCCGGTTGGTGATCTACCAATTTCCCAATTATCCCTCACTACATCATGTGGCCAGGTCAAGATTCATGCGAGATTGGGAGTAAGGCTTATCGCACAAAATTTGTAAATAAACACAGAAAAAATGTAACAAGAAAATAAATAAGAAAACAGAAAAAGTTTAATTTAAAGGTTGAGGGACACAATAATTAGGAGCTTAACATGGCGTGCGATCACGTGTATTTTATCACTTGTTTTAAATATTGTGAAAACTTTGACGTAACGCGCGCGAGTTTTATGCGAGATTTTTGCAAGATTCGTCTAAATCTCATCCTCAGGCTCGCGATGAGGCGAGTCTAACCGCGAGCCTAAGGTTTGCTTAGGCGGCCTAGTGGTTAGAGCATCTGCGCAGAAGCTCAGAAGGTTTAAGGTTCGAATCACAGTGTCACCTAGTCTATGGAGTAGCTAAGGATCCATTGAATCTATGCGATCTCCCCGTTTGACTCAGTCGAATGATAGGAAACTAAATTTACGGTTAAATGAGGAGGGTCACTCTCAGAAAGGGCGAAAGGAGGAAGGATCTGGAACAATTTTTGAAACATTTGTTTTAAGGAATGAATTCTCGTAATAAAAAAAGTAAATTTGGACTACAAGGGGCGAATTTCGTGCAGTTACACTGCAGTTTGACAGGATATATGGCAAATGAGGCCACAAAAGTTGCCCACACCCCCCCCCTCCGTGACACGTGACAATCGCACTTTAAAATGCTCAAAATCCAGTCTCATCGCACTTTCTCAGGAATCTTTCTATGGGATCATGTGAGTCTAGAGATGTAATCTATACTACTACTACTACTATGTCGGAACTAAGTCCGATCTACGCCAGATAACACCTCCATATATCCCTGTCCCGCATAATCTATAGAGATTAATTAAACAGCACGGAAATAGTTATTACCATGGACCATGGTAGCTGTAACAGAAATTCGTGACTGTAAAGTGCGTATTAAAACACAACATCGGATCTCGGCACCATTGGCCATGTTTCACTTACATTCTCGAAAGAACTATACAAATATATTTCTTGATTTATTCTGTTTTTCATACCAAGAACAATCCGGTAGCTTTTAAACCTTCATTTATTTATCAGGTGCTGAGTTTTACGATGCCGAGACAACGCTCACAAACTCTTTCCAGTCCTTTCTAACGCCCAGGACTCTCGCTGAGACTAAAACAACGTTAGATCACACGGTAAGAATCAAACATTCTCATTTATTACTACGAGTAGTTTTTTATAACGATTTACTTAACCATGTCTATAAAACAACTAAGAAAAACGTCACTCAAGTTATGTGTGATGGGTATATTATATATAACAGGGATGTAGTACAACAGATATGTAACAGATATGTAACAGATATGTAACAGATATGTAACAGATATGTAACAGATATGTAACAGATATGTAACAGATATGTAACAGATATGTAACAGATAATCAGATATGTAACATTTATATAACAGGTATGTATCAGGTATGTAACAGATATGTAACAGAAATGTAACAGGTATGTAACAGAAATGTAACAGGTATGTAACATGTATGCAACAGTTATGTAACAGGTATGTAACATGTATGTACCAGGTATGTAACAGGGATGTTACGGGTATGTAACATGGATTTAACAGTTATGTAACAGTTATGTAACAGGGGATGTAACCAGGTTGTAACAGGGATGCAACAGGTATGCAACTGTATGCAACAGGTATGTAACATAGATGTTATCAGGTATGTCAGGTATATTCAGGTAATGTTACTGGTATGTAACAGGTATAACAGATATGTAACAGGTAGTAACAGTAATGTACATGATTGTTAAACAGTTATGTAACAGGTATGTAACAGGTTTGTAACAGGGATGCAACAGGTATGCAACAGGTATGTAACAGGTATGTAACATAGATGTTTACCGGGTATGCTCAGTATATTCAGGTAAGTTACGGTATGTAACAGTTAGTAAGGTTCAAGATATTAACAGGTATGTAACAGGTATGTTACATGATGTAACAGTTATGTAACAGGTATGTAACAGGTATGTAACAGATATGTAACAGGTATGTAACAGGTATGTAACAGGTATGTAACAGGTATGTTACATGATGTAACAGGTATGTAACAGGTATGTTACAGGTATGTAACAGGTATGTAACAGGTATGTTACAGGTATGTTACAGGTATGTAACAGGTATGTTACATGATGTAACAGGTATGTAACAGGTATGTAACAGGTATGTTACAGGTATGTAACAGGTATGTAACAGGTATGTTACAGGTATGTAACAGGTATGTTACAGGTATGTAACAGGTATGTAACAGGTATGTAACAGGTATGTAACAGGTATGTTACATGATGTAACAGGTATGTAACAGGTATGTTACAGGTATGTTACAGGTATGTAACAGGGATGTTACAGGTATGTAACAGGGATGTTACAGGTATGTAACAGGGATTTAACAGTTATGTAACAGTTATGTAACAGGTATGTAACAGGTATGTAACAGGGATGCAACAGGTATGTAACTGGTATGTAACATAGATGTTACAGGTATGTTCAGGTATATTCAGGTATGTTACTGGTATGTAACAGGTATGTAACAGGTATGTAACAGGTATGTAACAGGTATGTAACAGGTATGTTACATGATGTTACAGGTATGTTACAGGTATGTAACAGAAATGTAACAGGTAAGTAACAGCTATGTGACTGGTATGTTACAGGTATGTTACATGATGTAACAGGTATGTAACAGATATGTAACAGGTATGTAACAGGTATGTAACAGGTATGTTACAGGTATGTTACAGGTATGTAACAGGTATGTAACAGGTATGTAACAGAAATGTAACAGCTATGTAACAGCTATGTAACTGGTATGTTACAGGTATGTTTGGAGGACCTACCCTCGCCCCCCAAGATTCCACCCTCACGATCTGACAGTGTGAAGTCACGTGTTGATCAGTTTAATAAGTGGACTCATCTCTCGCGGACGCTTGCTAAGGACTCATTTGTAGACGTGAGTTTAAATTTTGAATTGATCTTTTTGATAAGCTTAAAATTTGAATCAAGAAACTGGAAACATCCATAATATATTGCCAAGAATAAGTCAATTTGATGTTAAGTTCACATGTATCTGGTAATATTGGTTAGACGATGTGTTTGATTATCTCCGTCTAAACCCTTCTGAACCTCTCTGAACCGCCCCGCCCCCGCGCCGGCCCCTGATCGTTTCTCCCTCACAGGACACAACACATTCACCTCTACGTAGATCAGCCCTCCGTGACGTCACCCAGGACAACACCTCCCCAACAGGCTGCAAACGCAAACTCAAGAAACAAGTCTCGTTTGTGGAGCACAACGAGAGCAACATCTACCTTTACACCCCTGCTCCTTGTACCCCCCAACAATGCGCTGCTAGTAACATGGTCCACTCTCCCCCGCCTTACGAACAGATTGCTGGACTAATCGCTAACAGGAAGAGAGCCGGAAGAGGGAGTTTTAATAGATCTGACCAGTTCATTGATGCGACGTCGTCTTTCTCGCACAACATTCGATGATCAATTTTGGTGAATTAACGCTTTTAGGGGTTGTTATTTAGAATTATTAATTTGCCAAATTTTATATAAATTGTTTAACGTTTGTCTGTTATTGAACATGTTTTTAACTATCAGATTCCAGAGATTTTAATCAGAAGAACCCAGACTGTTTTAAAGCATACTGCGAAGTACAACTATCAGACTACTATTTGTTTTCATATAATGAGTTGATATTCAAATTCTGTGACCCATTTTTGTTCCGATAAATACCAATATCAGTATTGATGATACCTCCAGCCATCTCGTACTTTAAGAAGGCTGGAATCTAAATGATAAATATTCTTGATATCGTATTTATAATATTTGTAACCCTTGTAATACTTTTATAATATTTCGATATACATAATTATATTGCATGACACTTTTAGTTCGAACCACTAAATTTCAAGTGATTATTTTACGTCTTGTTGTAAATCATATTCGTTAATTTTTGTTGAATCTTGCTATAAATTCATCAAATGCCACTAAAAGTTCAAGATAAGCTGCAGCACTTTTATGTTAATGTTTCTGCAATAGAAAAGTTTTTAATAGAGCTTTTATTTACCGCTCTTCGAAGGAAGAATGATTAGCACATATGATATTTACATTTGGTAACTATTGGCTTCGTAAATATAAGTTAAAGAAAGTTAAGGCGATCAGAGAAAAGTGTTCTTGATTCCTATCTAGTATTATTATTGTGTACTGCTATTATTTATAAAATCATTAGTTATTTCTATCAGAGTCTGATAATCTTATCTACATAAATTCAGTTGCTGGTTATATTGAATTTCATTGGTGTCATATCATTCTGTTCAACTAAAATTTCTACACTTATCATAGAAGTCTATTATTTGCTTAGATTCTTGTGAAATACTATTTCTTGAAGAATAAAAAATCAATTCTTGAGACCATTTTATGAGTTATTTAAAGGAACTCAAAAAACCCACAATTAGTAGTCCTGGATGAAAGACGTATAAATATGAATATTCTGATATACAGTAATGGACAAGAGGATTCAGAGACATGACAGACCTTCTAAACAGGAATAGCAGAACAATTAAAATCCAGTAACAAATCTAAGGGGTCGTTTACATATTACGTAATCAGCTGAAGGGGTGGGGGGGGGGGTTCCGAATTATTACGCTAGTGTAATTTTGACACAATAGTTAATAGCTATGTGTAAAACTGATTAAGGAGCGATTTACGTTTCATCTGACATATCTGATAAGGGTTCCTTTGTACATCCAATGGCAAAATCAATATCAATATCATGATTGGTATTCTGAGCGGTCGTCTCCTATCGTATGAGTCTTGATCGTAATGGCGCAAAACCGCCAAATCTATCTGCGCGCGTGTAACTTACTGCACGAAAAACTCTTAATTTAACCCCCATCTCACTCTAATAATATTTAAAATAAAATTGTGCGATAGGCTGGTGGACTTGGAGGGAACTACCTAGTAATCTAAAATATCGGGATTTATTTTAACAGAGATTACCATGGATTTTGATAGTATAAGTTTGAAGTTAATTGAGGCCATATCGTTTACAATCATATTTAATTTTATGACCTTCCAAAAATTAATGTGGTCGTTCACATATTACGTAATCATTTTTGGAACATTTTTACCCCCCCCCCCCCCTCCGTAATAAGTTTTTCGCATAGCTATTTTGTCAAAATTACACTAGCGTAATCATTCGGAACCCCCCCCCCCCTCAGCTGATTAAGTAATATATGAACGACCCCTATATATCTCCTGTACTGTTCTCGAGGCAAGTGCTACGAAGTACTAGTAGCGCGCGACGGGATAGTCCATTAACAATGGACAAAGTCATTTGCAGCAGTCAGCTCCAAAACAATCAACAAAAAATGTCAACTTGACGAAAACCGTAGCCATTGCTATTTTTCACTAATTGCTAGGTGGTACGAAATTATCAAAACACCGATAGAGAGATTGATGATAAGTGAGACTGTGGTTTGAAGACGTTGTCCTACTGGGTGGATCATACTCCGCATGAGGGCGGGAATAACATAACTACAAACTAATCATCCTTTCATCTCTTCTGCTATTTATATATCAGGGAGTTTAACTTAATCTACTGGTATGTGGTAGGGCCTCATGAGCTCATGTTTTGACGCCTCATCATCATCAAATATTCCACATCTTTACAAACTTAGAGATAGCTGTTACTGAGCTTTACAAACTTATTGTTACTGAGCTGGCAAGTAGTTTGGAAGTTTGCCAAGTCTGGAAAGTTGGCAACTCTGCACCGATACAACTGGAGTACTATAACATTACTACAAACTAATTATCCTTTCATCTCTTCTGCTATTGTCTCCGGAGCTTACTTAAATTAACAAAAAGGTTGGTAAATATTTAAATTTGTTCCTAACAATCACTGGTTGACTGTATATTTATATACCAAGGAGTTTAACTTAATCTACTGGTAGGCGGGCCTCATGAGTTGTTACTGAGCTTTACAAACCTATTGTTACTGAGCTGGCAAGTAGCAGTTTTATAGAGATCTTAACAATTGGATCTTACTATAAGAGCACCGAGGTAGTTAAGTTTAGAAGTTTGCCAAGTCTGGAAAGTTGGCAACTCTCAACTCTGCACCGATACAACTGGAGTACAATTAAAGAGGAATTTAGTAAAGGCTAATTTAGTAGAGGCTAAATTTAAGAGATTGACTACTATTATAGGTGGTGGGTGTTCACGGTTCAGTGTTCGTATATTTCATGAAGAATGCAATGATTATAGTGTCACTTATGAGGAAAGAGTAATATATTTTATATAGGTGATAGAGGAATACTACTTAAAATAAACCACCGAATTTTGACAATTGTTTTCATCACAGATTACATATTAATAATGTTACATTTTATATCAGTATTGACCATAAGTCAACTCTTAACTAGGTGTCGTTCACATATTACGAAATCAGCCGAGGGGAGGGGGTTTCCAAATGCTTACGGTTGATTAACATTTTTTTTAACCCTCTAGAATGATAACAATTTGACAATATTTTAATTCAAATTCCACTCAATTTCACTCTAATAGTGATCAAATTTAGAAATGATTACGTAATATTGCTGTCAGGAGGGGGGGGGGGGGTTGGGTCTTGATTACGATTGATTACGGAGGGGAGGGGTACGTACGTTTTGGTACGTTTTGGTGAGTTTGGCAGGGCGTGCTCAGGACAACTGCATCGAGTGCGTCCTCCTCCAGCTCAGCATTGAGTTATCGTTTGTCGGAGTGTAGCCCGGAACCGGTGGTGTGTCTGGGTACTGTTCCATAAATCTGCCTAGACCAACTTTGAAACTGTCTAGCAATGTGATACTCCGGAGCTCCGATGGGAGCACGTTGAAGAGCTGAGCTGCTCTAACTCTAAAGCTGTTGTCGTAATCTGTTCTTACCGACAACTGTGCGCTTTTGTTCATGGCTGGGATCTCTGCCTTAATACCATGCCTTTGATGAGACTTGAACTCGAAGCCCGTATCGTTCGGAGCATGTTCATTAAGAATTTTCCATACATGAATAATAGAATAACGCTCTCTCCGCCTCTGGAGGGACATCAACTTAAGCTTCTTCAGCCTGTCCCAGTACTGGAGATCACGGCAGCCAGATATCTTTCTAGTAAAGGATCTCTGTACAGTCTCCAGCTTTTGTATCTCTGTGACTTTTGTAGGGTTCCAGACTGGACAGCAGTACTCTAGCTTGGAGCGAACCATGCTTTTGTATAAAGTCAGCATGACTACTTGTGACCGGTCTCTAAAGGCACTCAATGTCCAAGCCGCCATTTTTCTAGCTCCTTGAACTGTCTTCTCAATGTGAGGACCCCATGACCTACTGCTGCTAACATACACTCCAAGGTCTCTGACAGTTTCCTGTGGTGATATTGCGTGTCCTTTTGGTGTAGTATACTCAACAGTCTCTGGGTAGAACGGGAGCTCTCTTAGAGCTTTTGATCCATTCAGGGGGTAGTTTACAACCTCAAACTTCTGTTCGTGTAGCTCCATGTTGTTAACACGTGACCACTCGATGACTATGTTGAGATCATCTTGCAGTAACTCCACACTACTCATTCCTCGGATAGCCCCAATCAGCTTTGTGTCGTCTGCAAAGCTGAATCCGTTACTATAGCTAATGCTGTTCAACAGATCGTTGATGTACAGGATAAATAGGATCGGTCCTAGGACTGTCCCTTGTGGCACCCCACTTGCCACTGGCTGGAAGGATGATTTGCGACCTTCAACAACGACTGTTTGTTTTCTGTTTAGCAAAAACTCTTTGATCCACCTTAAAACCTGACCACCAATTCCGTATCGACCAAGCTTGGCTAGCAGCACTGCATGGTCGACCTTGTCAAAAGCTTTGGCAAAGTCGAGGTAAATCACATCAACTTCTTCATCATTGTTGAGTGATTTGTAGATCTGTTCGATGTGACTGAGAAGCTGCGTCATGCAACTCCTCTTTTTTCTGAACCCATGCTGGTTCGTATTGATCATCATGTTCTCTTCCAAATGACGAACCAGGTTTTTTCTGATTACACGCTCAAATGTCTTTATGATGTGCGAGGTTAAAGACACTGGTCTATAGTTTGCTGGGTCCGTTCTGTCCCCCTTCTTATAGATAGGGGTGATATATTGGGTCTTTAATTCCGCTGGTATATACCCACTGCTGAACGATTCCTGCCAGAGGAGTGTAAGCGGGTCTGCAAGTTGTTCTTTGCAGGCTGTGAGTATCCTAGCAGGAATCTCTCCGTCAGGTGCGGCCGAATAGGGATCCAGTTCTCCTAATGCTTCAATGATATCTTTTCTTGTGAAGCTTAGCTCGTTGAATCCGGAATCCAGTCCCTGAGGTAATCCTTGACTCTTCATACATTCATCAATATCGGCACTCATAGGGTTACTAAATACCTTCTGGTACTGCTTCTGAAGTAACTCTGACTTGATACTGGGGTCGTCCACTAATGCCCCAGTCTCATCTCTCAACACCGGGATCGTAGATCTGGTCTTCTGGAGACGCTTGGCATACGAAAAGAAGTATTTGGGGTTCTTCTTTATTGCATCGACTGCCCGGAGTTCTTTTTTGTTCAGTTTCTCAAGGGTCCCTTCCTGTATGGAGTAACACAGCAGTGAAACCTCCGTTTTCAGTTTAGGGATTAAACTCGAGCTAGGATTCATTTCCTGTAATGCACGTATCCTAGCATTCATCTTCCTTCGTCTTCTTTTCATGACATAAACGTGCTTATTCCCTCTTCTCTTTCTTGAGGTAATCTCCGCTGCACTCTCTTTCTTTGGGGAGAACTCCAAGGTTATCTGGAGCACTGTTAGCTTGAACAATTCCAGAAAAGCGTTCAAGTCCTCGTCACAGAGTTCCCAGAGCTTCAGCCAGTCGACTTTCTGAAGGCAATCACTGATTGCCACAAAATCGGCTTTGTGATAGTCAACTGCCCTGAAAGAGTTTGGGTCGATCTTGCTGGTTTCGTTCTTCTTTCTTCCAGTCATATTAAAACCAAGCTGAATTTCGACCAAGCTGTGGTCTGATAAAGATGTGGGGTTCACCTTTACTTCTGCGACATACCTAGGAACATTTGTAAGTACAAGATCTAGGGTGCTACCTTCTCTTGTCGACTGGTTTACGACCTGTGTTAGAAAGTTACGGTCTATAAACTCTATAAAATCATGACACCTGGCTTCACTTCTTAAGCCTCCATGTTCCCAGTCTATCTCTGGATAGTTGAAATCTCCAACAACGTATATGTCTGGCACCGTTGTATTTTCTGAGATCGCGTCTATTTTGGCTTGCAGTCTGTCTAGTAAGTTCTTCCAGCCTGAAGTATCTGCTCCAGGGGGCCTGTAGACAGTAGCAAAAAGGGTGTTGCATGACTTAACATAGCACATGACCATGTTATTGCTTCTATCCTCGTAGTGATCGGTTTCTGTCACCACTAGCTGGTCATGAACATAGAGGAGGCAACCTCCTCCTACTCTCTCTGGTCTATCAGATCTAAACGATTGATAGTCTTTTATCTGCACCTGAGCGTCAGAGATGTAACTCTTTAGCCATGACTCGGTTATGGCTATGAATGGTGGGGGGCAGCTACTTCCTTCGATGATGGTTTCCTGGATGTAGGGTAGTTTCCATCTAGAGCTGCTAGTAGCTGCCGGAGATACGCTCTGCCCATTTAAGAGGACAATGGTGGAAAGTTCTGGCTGAACCACTGTGGTGCCATCATGTACGGGTATGGGGGGTAACAAATTGCTAAAACATTGATTACGTAATATGTGAACGACCCCTTAGGGTGGTGTCTTAGGTAGAGTAGAATTAGGTAGAGGCATGGGTTGTACAGTGTACACACGGGTGCATGATGACCGTTTGAGATCACTGATCCGGATGGAAGTTAGTTTTACAGCGACCTTACCGGTCTCAGTCCACTGTGCAGCATGGTGGACTGAAGCTCAACCCGCCCATCATTTCATGTTAATTTATGAACATTCAACATTGGTTGTCCAAGAGGAACACTTCGATAGAACGTAGACTAGGGACAAGATTTAAATGCATTAATTTGTGATGTAAAAAGGTGACTTATTAATAATTTAATATTATATACTAACATTTAATTCAGAAAAAACGGACTAGTGTACCTTACATGGGAAAAATCTTAATAAAACATTTCAAAACTCTCGATAGAACATATCTAACATAAAAATAATAAATTAAAGAAAAGTAATAAACAACTAAAACCTATCCCAATTCCCAAGACCAAAAATGGTTAAAATAATTTATTCTTCTGGATAAAATCCATAGTTTTCTCAACAGTTTCCTGATCAATATCACCTTCCTTCTGAAGGCTCTCCAGGATTTCCGATATGTTGAACACACTTTTAATGTTGAACTTGTTGTTGGCCAAGTTGATGTGACCCCCTTGCTGTCGGTCCAGTAACACCACACCCTCCGTAGCTTTCAGACCTGTCGGTTATCAAATATAATCCTCGGAAATGGCAGTTGTAGATTAAAATCTATTTAATTGAAATATATTATGCACGACAAATTTCAACGTTGGACAGAGAAATTTCATGGTACATTGGGGTGCCAACTACATTGTGTAATTGTGTATACTGTATAAGTAAAAGTAGAGACAAGGATTTAAACAAACCAGCTTTTTCTAGGACATCGACAGTTTCAAGAATACTCCCGCCCGTAGTAATTACGTCTTCAATGATAAGACAGGACTCTCCTGCTTCGAATATGCCTGGTGTTGTGAAATGTTCTTATTTACTGAATCTCAAAACTACAAATTTAACATGTCAAACCATAGCAAATACTATGCAATCAGCAATGGTTTTTTATAAATGAGTAGGCATATGTGCATGGTAAAAATTGACGATTTATTTCACCAATGCAGCGTCGCGCATCAACATTTAATAAATGCAGAAAATTGCGGAAAATAACTTTGCGAAGGAGGAATTTCACTGTAATTAATTAACACATGGCTAGCGTCGCGCGCAGCATAACACACGCTTAACTATACACTTAATTATAGGGGTTGATTGCCAGGGGTTGATTGCCAGGGCCCTCCGTTTCTACAACGTCCCCGAGAATAACCTTCCGAATACCTTCTCCGGGGTATTCGGAAGGTTCTCCTCAAGAACGGTGACATCAGACTGGCAGCAGTTTGAGATAGGAATCTTCATGGGGTGTGTGATATCAGTCATCTTGTTTGTCTTGTGCATGAACCTTGGGCATGAACACCTAAAGTCTAAGGTTCCGAGAAGCATTGAGTACATCAAGGATGACACACCGATACCAACTCTGAAGCTGTTTATGGACGATAGCTGTCTGACGACCGCACGTGCAGAGGATATGCAAACGTTACTCAATGTGTTTCAGAAGTACGTGGACTGGTCCAGATTTAAGTTAAAGTCCTCCAAGTCCAGAGCACTGGTGTTGAAGAAGGGAGTGGCTGTGAGGTGGGTTGAGGAGGTAGTGGTAGGAGAGGAGGAGGTGGAGAGAGAAGAGGTGTGTTTGCAGTTGGGTGGTGAGGTGATTCCGAATGTGTCAGAGAAGCCGATAAAATTCCTTGGGAGATGGATAAGAGTGGAAGGAAATGACAAATCAGTCATCGACTCAACCAAGGTCGACCTTAACACTTTTCTTCGGAGACTCGATGAAAGTTCCCTTACTGGACTCCAGAAGTGCTGGGGATATCAGTACATGGTCCTTCCAAAACTGAAGTGGCCTCTTGCCATCTATGATATTCCGATCACAACAGTTACCAGATGGGAACAGAATACCAATAGTTTCCTCAGGAAGTGGTTAGGGGTGGGGCACACTCTGAGTGGTCTTTGTCTGTTCAGTCAATCATCCAGTGTGGCCTTACCGGTGAGCAGTTTGACAGATACATGGAAGATAGAGAAGTGTCGACTGTTGCAATCCTATCAGACATCTAAGGATGACCTGATTAAAGCAGTCCAGCCCCAAGTTCGTTCTGGTAGAGTTTGGAGGCCTGAGACAGAACTGGAAGAGGCCAGAAGAGATTTGGTCTGTGAATCGGTGCGAGGGATGGTGCAACCTCAAAAAAGAGTTGGCATCGGTTTTGGTGACTGGAAAAAACCTTGGGAGAGGATGGATGAACGGGAAAGAGAGAGGGAGGTTATGCTGAGAGTGAAGGAGAACATTGAAAGAGAGAGGGAGGTGCAAGTAGGTTCTCTGGAGATGCAGAGCAGGTGGGGTGAGTGGAGAGAGCTCGTAATGAAGACGGATTTGAGCTGGCATACACTTTTTAAGTATGGTGACTCACTTATTGGGTTCATGCTAAGTGCTGTGTACGGCACCCTCTTAACCCCCTCTATGGTTTCCAAGTGGAGTGAAGATGAGGATGGGAAGTGCAAGTTATGTGAGGAGAGGATGGGCACCATTCAGCACATTTTGGCTGGGTGTAAGGTGGCCCTTAGTCAAGGAAGGTATAGATGGCGGCACGACAAGGTTCTGAAGCAGATCTCTGAACAGGTTGTCTTCCATTGTGATCGCCGAGTGAACACTTATAAGAACAAGGCCGGCGATGGAAGGCAGTTCATTGATTTTGTTCCTGCTGGGAAAAGGAAAGCAGGTACAGACGACCGGAAGGAGAGTCGTGGGTTTGGGATCCTGAGTGGGTATCGGGATTGGATAGTGCTGTCAGACCTTGAGGGGCAGCTTAAGTTTCCCAGTGAGATTGTGGAAACACGGCTGAGGCCGGACCTTGTGATATTCTCAAGGTCGGCAAAGACAGTTATTTGGTGGGAGCTAACAGTACCATCTGAAGAGCGGATCGCTGAATCGCACGAGTACAAGCTCGACCGATACAGCGGTCTGCAGGCTGAGATTCAGGCGGAAGGTTGGTGCTGTTATAATGCCGCAGTCGAAGTTGGAGCTAGGGGAGTGGTTGCGCAGAGTTTGGAGAGAGCTGCGAGGAGGATTGGTTTTAGGGGAAGAGAGCTGAAGAAGCTGGTACGGGACAGTGGGAAAGAGGCAGCCCACTGTTCCAGATGGATCTACTTGTTATCGAGAAAGAGGGAGTGGGAGTTCAGGAAGGTTGGAGCTTGAGAGTTCACTATAACATCTAGAGGTACCATAAACGTTATCTCGTCGCCAATTGCGAGCTCTAACGGGTCTCCTCAAGTGACTCTCGGATCAGATGGTGGTTCAAGGGTGGACTGCTGGGGCGCCTGACAGGAAACCGTATTGCGATTAAAGCCCCGAAACGGTGTCAGGTTGGTAACTGATGATTCTGATCCATGCTCCTGTGAGTTTGCTGTTGTATCTCAACTCACTAAACTGAGGCATCTCCGCATCTTGGGTGAATATGCGTACATCTTCATACTAAACCCAGGTGTGGCATGTGTCAGTGAATACGGGCGAGCGGATGCAATAGCGAAGGTGGTGTGACAAGGCCTAAAAGACACAGTCAGATAGTTGTCAGCTCGCTGACTGTAAGGGAGAAGGTATATCCGTATTTCGCTGCTACTGATGCAGTCCTTGATCTGGCAATCAAGGCTTCTCTGTTTTTCGTCTAACTATGTACCGTTGGGCTTGTGGAACCCGTCAGGGGGACATACATAGGTTAGAATGGTTTTGTGCACCAAGAGGAGTGAGGGAATGAGGGTTGAAGAGAGAGAGCTAGAGAGTTGTTAGGGTGGTTAGGATCAGTAGGTGGAGTGTTTGGTTGGAGCGTTCTGTTTTTGCTGTATAGCATTTTAGTCACTCCGCAGTTTATTAACTGTGTCTCAACTCTGACTGGAAAAAAGTGCAACATATTTACATACTATGCAATCAGCAATGGTTTTTTATAAATGAGTAGGCATATGTGCATGGTAAAAATTGACGATTTATTTCACCAATGCAGCGCCGCGCATCAACATTTAATAAATGCAGAAAATTGCGGAAAATAACTTTGCGAAGGAGGAATTTCACTGTAATTAATTAACACATGGCTAGCGTCGCGCGCAGCATAACACACGCTTCCTATACACTTAATTATAGGGGAGTGGTCTATATTGCGAAGGAGCAGACTTTTGTCGACATCGTAGGACCGTCGGGCCACCTCATATATCCAAACCCGATTACTTATTCCCTACGATCTTTTTGCCTTCGGCAAGAGTAGGGAAAAAAATGAGCATCACGATAAAGTTAATACAAAAAAATACAATCTTCACCTTCAACCATTTTCTTAGTGCCGTAATCTTTCATCTCTTTTCTGCGGATAACCATAGGTATATCGTGGTCCACTGAGATGACAGTTGCTATGGGGAGGGCAGTGTAGGGGACCCCGCAGATACATGTGTACTTCATACCATGTGCTGCTTCGTACAGTAATTTAGAAGCGTCCCTCATAAGTCCTGACAGTTGGGTGGTAACAGTAAGTTTTAACTTTTAGTTTAGGAACGTATAATTGTGATTATACATATTAGCGACAAGAGAAACGCCATTGTTGGACGTGAGGAGAGTGAGGACTCTTCAAACTACATTAAATTAATTCCTTCTGTAACGTCCTCAATAATGTTAAAGATTTGTAGTGTTGTAATTAGTTTAAAATGATATTTTCACTCAATCGGAAATGCAAAAACTGTTGTATTTTCCTAATATCCTAAGTGATTAAAAGTTACTAACGGGGCAAGGAAACCAGAGCTAAGTTACTAACGGGGCAAGGAAACCAGAGCTATAAGTTACTAACGGGGCAAGGAAACCAGAGCTAAGTTACTAACGGGGCAAGGAAACCAGAGCTATAAGTTACTAACGGGGCAAGGAAACCAGAGCTAAGTTACTAACGGGGCAAGGATACCAGAGCTAAGTTACTAACGGGGCAAGGAAACCAGAGCTAAGTTACTAACGGGGCAAGGAAACCAGAGCTAAGTTACTAACGGGGCAAGGAAACCAGAGCTAAGTTACTAACGGGGCAAGGAAACCAGAGCTCTCAGATCGAAGTAAACCGGACTCATTATCCCGCTCTTTAGTTTAAACTCTCCGAACTTGATGGCCCCATGTGAGTAAAGCTCCTTCACAAACTTCACCTTGTCTACTGGCTCATCTATCCCTCTTGTACACATTATCCTGTATGAGTTGAGGTCATGTGGTTGTGGGGGTTTGGTAAAATACAACAAGTATTACTCGCAGTTCGATGATTATTTTAAAGTAGAGTAGATAAAGGATGTCACATACAAAATTATCTTCAGGTCAAAAAATCAGAGTTGTTACAATACGAATGAAATCAGAAAACGAAATAATATTTAAGATCATAAAAATTCGAAATTAACAGAGTTCTATCTAAAAAGATTAAGAATAAGATATTCAATTAAAAACGTCTCTAGTCACAATACAGTGATCAATACGAAAAACATCATAAATTTAAAAACAGAGTTTGCAAAAAATATCAAATTCCAATGTCCATAATAAACTTAAAGTTCACATTATATTGATTCTACAGATCAGTCATCAATCTATGTTTATAACTAAAGGATCACTCGCTTTCAGCAGAACTCTTTCCGCTGTATCATCCACAAAGTTGATTCTGTGAATGTACTTATCCATAAAGCATGCACCTTCCTCAGAGCAGGTGAACAACTGAGAAATGTAGAAAATTGGTCACAGAAGACCTAAACTTGGTCACAGAAAACTTGGTCACAGAAGACCTAAACTTGGTCACAGAAGACCTAAACTTGGTCACAGAAGACTTAAACTTGGTCACAGAAGACCTAAACTTGGTCACAGAAGACCTAAACTTGGTCACAGAAGAAGTATTCTTAAACGCTTTTACGAAGAATTCTGGCGAACTTATAATACGCTGTTTTAAAACAAACCAATAGCAAAACAAGTAGTTGTACTGGTTTAAGATGACATACCGTGATAGCAAGATCTGCAGCCCCAGAAGCTACAAGTGGAACCTGTACCACGTGATCAGTAACGGGTACCTCGTGACTCTCCCTTCCGTGTGTCGTGTAGTGGGTTATCTTGATGATACTAGGAGCGGAGGTGTTAAGATGCTTGGTGAAGGACAGGGAGAGTGTCAGAGATGTTGTGTGCTCCTGTGGGATTCAGGATTAGGAGATTAGGGGGGGGGGGGGGGGGGGGGGCACTGGTAGTAGACAACTGACAACTGGGAAACATTGAAAATTCCTATTTTCATAAACTTATCTTAAATAATAGAATACCACCTTAATTTCAAACTAACCATCAAAACAAAACAAATGTCAATCTAAGCAAAACTCAATTCGATATTGGCTGAAATAAACTTCACCTCAGTGAGGACCCAAGAGACCCCCGTACTACTGGATACCCTGGCTCGGTCGACTACTCCCACCTCCCAGCTCTCCGAGTTCTCCCCTAACTTCACTACTCTTACTGCGTGGTTGTTAGTGTCCGCTACGTACACACACCCACTTTGTGGGTCGTGGGTGAGTCCTGATGGCTCCGACAGACCTGTAGGTATACTTGTATGAGGAGCATTAAATAGAAATGTATGTTATCTTATGTTAACTTTTATGTAGACGTTAAAATTGTAAACGCTGCTAAGATGGAACAGCAATGGAGTGCAGCAAATTTCGCAAATTAACAATTTTCTCAACTTCTTTCTTTACGGAGGAAAATATCAGAATCTAGTAAGATCATATTACCTACCAGTTATTTGAGAGCAGGTCGAAACGACGCGAGATTTGGTTTGGATTTGCTTTATCTTGTGATTGTAGGAGTCAGCTACCAGAAGAGTCTGGTTACCATGGTTACCAGTGATTGTTATTCCTATCGGGTGTTGTAACTTGGCTGTCGTTCCTGGTAGGAGGAGGATCGTCAGTTGTACAAGAGGGAAAGTTGTTTGACTCAGATTATTTTGGAAAATTTCTCATCTTATTGTTCAATGGACTTACTCGAACAGGCGCTCGCTAACTTTCAATTTTGTTTCCTATAAAATTGGGTGCAAATTGTTCTAATAAGTCGTAGAATTTACAAATTAAAGAAACTAACTATTTGACAATAAATTATAACAGTACCTTTTCCGTCCACATCTCCGTAAGAGAAGAGGTCGGAAGGGTCTAGGCCTCCCCCAGCCACGTTCTTCACAGCAAAAGAAGGAAGTTCCACGGATCTTACCGTGCTGCTCTCGCTGTCTGCCACATACACGAACTTACTACCGTCATAACTTAGTCCTGGCGGGGGAGATGGTTTTACATTCGGGTTTAAACAAGACTGTGGGGGGCGGGGAAGATGGTTTTACATTCGGGTTTAAACAAGACTGTGGGGGGCGGGGAAGATGGTTTTACATTCGGGTTTAAACAAGACTGTGGGGGGTGGGGGAGATGGTTTTACATTCGGGTTTAAACAAGACTGTGGGGGGGGGGGGGGGAGGGGGGGGGGGAGATGGTTTTACATTCGGGTTTAAACAAGACTGTGTGGGGAGATGGTTTTACATTCGGGTTTAAACAAGACTGTGGGGGGAGATGGTTTTACATTCGGGTTTAAACAAGACTGTGGGGGGGGGGGGGGGAGCTGGATCATCGCTGATATGATATGTATATAGGGTTTCTATTATGAGAACGGAAGTGTGACAGTTTAGAATTTCAGTACGTGTCGAACTACAGTGCGTATACCCTCCAACATTAGAGTTTAGAGTAGAGAGAACAACATGAAACAAAGAAATTACATTCGTCGTCAAAACAAAGGGCCACTTTGTTTTAAAATGTGGTAGTTTCTTAGTTTTTATTGCGATCTATTTACACATTAAATTATCCAAATTATTTGAGACAATGGATATAATGAGGTCGAAAGAGCAGTTTCCTTTGTCGGCATGAAAACAAAAACTTGCTCCATGTTTCATACATGAAACGTATAGTTGGATACATAAGTTTCGTTTGCTTTGTCGGTGTCCGAAAGCAACCTTATTTTACTTCAAATCAAATCCTCTTATTGTTGCTTTAATGTAACGTCCAGTCCCTAAGGGCTACGGATCGCTAATTGATTGACGTGAAGAAATTATCATTTTGCGCGTGAAGTGATTGATTTGCTTCAGAAGTCTTAAACGTTTGATTATTTTAAGTAGAAACTGAAGGTCGATCCATCAGTGCATGACCAGCCAAATTAGTCTGAAGTCCAGCTCCCTGTTATTTGCTTAACCTTAACCGGGGCAGGAGGTAATCATAACCCTAATTGGGGTTTAATTGTGTTAATATGTTAGGGTTATAATCACTTCCTGTAATAGGGTTATGATCACTTCCTGTGTCGGTTCTCTGCAAAAAGGGGGTCGAAGGGTCCCTACTTTATCACTTTCCTCGTTCTATTCTTAAAATTCAAAACGTAGGAGGCATCCTTAGTATTTGTAGTTCCTACTTCCACGTCACCTTCATTTTCCAGGTCACCCTATGTTTACATAGAGTTTCAGTGTACGTGCGTGTTGGTATTATATGTTTATTATATTTTAGCACATCAGTATTTGCTGCATCGAGATATAAATCAATAGTACTGTCAACAGCTAAAAATATCAAAATTTGTTGTCTATTATTTCTTGAATCTTCATTCCAAGACAAAATGGAATGTCCGTATGGAAGGAAGTTTAGCAGTACTCAACAGTCAACTTCGGTGTACGCTTTCTAATGATTCATATATTAAGACGCAATGAAACTACCGGACCACGATGTCCGGTAAATCCTCAATAAATCCTCAGTAAATGTATTTGTTTTTTGAATTTTCAACAACATTGGTAGCTTCTTTGATTTGTCCTACAATATTTCCTACCAGAGGGTTGAGCGAAGGAGGCTTTGTGAGGGTAAGAGTTGTTCTTGTTAGCTTCGTCCCCACTGCCAGCCAGTCTCCACGTAGTAGAGGCTTTATATTCAGTATTCTTACCTGACCAGGGTTCGTGTTAAATGTTAAGATTATATCTGGTCGTCAGAACCGGTTGGAAAAACAAAAACAAAAGTCGGTCCTTTCTACTTAGGCATTTACTCAGGTATTTGTTAACCAATGAATGATTTGAACTTCCTGCATTCTTTCCTGTTGACATTTTAGAATTATTATTGGGATAATGAATCATTTATGGACATTCTATCCTATTTAGTGGCAGTCGATGGGAAGCACAGTTTTGTAATATAGCTACATAATGAAGTTATGAAATCGTAAATTGTTTGAGTAAAGGAAAGGAGGATACATTATCACAATAATAATACTATCTGAAATGTTAACAGGAAAGAATGCAGGAAGTTCAACTCATTCGTAATGATAAGATAATTTGAACTAACAGACAGAGGCGATACATAAGTGCGGTGGGTGCGGAATTGACCAAATACCGCATTTTTTACACATCATCCGTTATTCGTTCTAGCAGATCTAGATTTGAGGTTATTTATTTATTTATTATACACAGAACCAGTGGCTACACAAGATTAAATTGCAAAGTTATTGGATACATCATTGCCCATTTGTTTGTTAAACATTCTATGAGGGCAATTCTAAAGATTTATACATCCTTGCCCATTTGTTTGTTAAACCTTCTATGAAGCAATTCTAAAGATTTATACATCTTTTACACATTGTGGGTAAAAGCTTAATTTGTTGCTAACTACAATGTCTAATTGTGACGTGCTTAAGTGACTCAATTTGAATCTGTTAGGAGTGTGATGAACACGAGTTGTTGATCTGCAGTCAGGCTTATCTGTTGTTGTTATAAGTTGCCGCGTTATCAGCTCGACACACCATACTATTGATAATGGACACTCTAGGTTTTCACGGAACTCTGTGAGCGACATCGTATGATACATTATATGTTCGGCGCGCGTACATCCTGGGTTTGGACAAGATATGCCCGCTCAATAAATGCAATAGATTTGTAGTGTTGTAATAAGTTTAAAATTAAAATTTGTTGTTTTTTGTTTTTTTATGTGCGTCCTCGTCGGACGCATCAGATTAATTATTACATTGCACATCAGATTTAAATATGATACGGTCATATTTCGAGTCTGTCTCCATTGGATTCAGCTGTATACACTCACTCTTTATACACTCACTCTATATACACTTTTATAAGTATTACTAAATAATAATTCTCTAGGAAAAGAATAAAATGGATTCTTCCGATGACGAAGCGGTCCAAGGAACGAACTTCACCTCTGATGTCAACAAGTACACAAAGCTAGGAGAGAAGAAAATCCAAAGACTCAGAAACCTGGATTTGTTCGTGCTGGACAATACGATGAGGGAAACGACAGTTGGTTCCCTCCGTGGTCACACTCTGGAGAACAAGAAACTTATCTACGAAGAGGTAAAGAAGTGCAAATTTCAATATTTCGTGATAGAGTCCTTCAACCACGAAAACAGGGTGGGGGATGTCCTGTTGAAGGAGCTAATCGAGAAAGGAGAGGATATGTCCTATGCTGTCGGATTCTCGGAGGTTTGGGAGAGTATAGTTGAGAAGGTGCCTCAGGACGAGCCTATTCCGATTGGAATGCGGAAGTGCAAAGAGTACGGTGTAAAGCACGTGATATTCGAAATCGATCTGATGTACTACAAAGTGGATTACGAGACGTTTAACATGACTGAAGTCTGTAAGATGGTGGGGAACCGAATCAGATGGATGAGAGAAAACGTGGCCAAGGATTCAAAGATGTTTTTCAACTTGAGAGATTTTGGGGATACGATGACAAATCACCCTGACCGAATCTGGAAGCTGACAAACTTCCTTGCAAGTCTTCCAGCGGAGGAGAGGATCGCTGGAATAGCCTTCGAAGACGTGGGAAAGTACCACAAGGATCTGCTAGGAGGCTGGACAAAGGCGGTGAGGAAAGAGATGCAGAGGTGCGGGTGGAAGGACGGCGAGCTGATATTCCACCAGCACGAACAGTGGGGTACAATGCATGGTGACGTACTGGAGGTGTTGGCGATGGGAGCCACCGGAGTGTGGTGTGGGTTGTGTGCAGAGGGTGCCGCAATGGGACACGCTGACTCCTGCACTACCATACTCAATCTCATAAGACTTGGAAACAAGAAGGTGCTGAAGAAGTTCAACTGCAAGCATCTCCGGGATGCTGCTATAAACGTGACGAAGATTGTGACGGGGCTTCCACCATCTCCAAGACAGCCAATTTACGGTGAACGAGCCATAGACATGGTTTTCGGATTTGTCTTCTCAGGGGTAGCGGATGATGCTTCTATTTACACTGACGGGTTTGACTTGGCTGAATTCTTGGGGCTTGAAAAAACTATACGGATATCGAACATGGCCAACCCACCAATGATTTTGGAGAAGTTGAAAGTAACATTCGGTGAGGATCCTCAGTTCACGATGAAGATGGCAGAGGATATGAAAGACCAGATACTAGAAAACACAGTAGACGAGAAACGTAAAGAGGAGTACAACAGTCAAGCTGGACTAGCCATGTTGTTCGACCAGGCAGGTGGCCAACTTACCAAAATCATGTCTGACATTATAATCGAATCCACCAATAACACCCTACATATAAACGACATAATAGCACAGATCAAGGAGGATTGGGAGGTCTGGGATGTTAAGGACGGAGTTAAAGACAACCAGATTACCTTCGATCACTTCTACAAAGGGTTCATGGCGCCCTATTTCGGTTGCTACACATGTGAGGATAGCCAGGTAGCTCTGGGATGTCTGGACATAGACACTGACGGGAATATAGATTGGTTTGAGTTCAGAACATTCTTAGTGTGGGCTGGTAGGCAGTATCCTGGAACTAAAGATAAGCAGGAGTTACTGGACCATGCCTTCCGTCACGGACTAATTCCGGCCATGAAGGATGAGCTGGATAAAAAGAGGGAGGAAAAAAGAATAGCTAATGGTAAGTGACCATGCGTGAAAAACTGTTATAATAAATAAATGTAAATCAGAGTTACTAAAGTTTAATTGCATTTGATTTTGACTTTTGAATTTCGTTGAGTGGAAAACTGTGACTCAGATACTAAACATTTTATTTTTGGAACATTTTGTATATTTTTGGATTAATCTTAGGAGAAGGTTTTGTGTTGTATAAAATTTATGTATAACTCATTGAGACTAGGCTTCAGCCACACTTTCAACAGTTACGTAGCGGTATTTGCTTAAAGAGTGCTCTGGACACCTATTTGGACTTACTACTTTACTTCTTAATTAATATTAATAAAAGCGTGTTTCATTTGTAACCACAACAGTCAACAGGGAAATAAATTTCACAGGTGGAAAATAAATTTTGAAACGTAGTTCATAAACCAGTTAGTAATTATAACTGTTGATATAAACTGTAAATATAAACTGTAAATATAAACTGTAAATATAAACTGTAAATATAAACTGTAAATATAAACTGTAAATATAAACTGTAAATATAAACTGTAAATATAAACTGTAAATATAAACTGTAAACATAAACTGTAACTGTAAATATAAACTGTAAATATAAACTGTAAATATAAACTGTAAATATAAACTGTAAATATAAGCTGTAAATATAAACTGTAAATATAAACTGTAAATATAAACTGTTAATATAAACTGTAAATATAAACTGTAAATATAAACTGTAAATATAAACTGTAAATATAAACTGTAAATATAAACTGTAAATATAAACTGTAGATATAAACTGTAACTGTAAATATAAACTGTAAACTGTAAATATAAACTGTAAATATAAACTGTAAATATAAACTGTAGATATAAACTGTAACTGTAAATATAAACTGTTGACTGTTTATACCTCTGTGGGTGATAGAAACATCAGTGAGCGCGTAGCCCCATATCTGATGGGTACCCGCCATTGCTATCATCAGCAGGTTTCCATGACAACCAGTCACACTCTGAAGAGGAATCAGCTCTATATCCCAGGGACTGCTTATCTCTTGTTCAGGACCTAGCGAGAATTAGTTGTCAAGAAGCGCTGTTTCAAGGTTCTGGAATGAGATGTGTATTCGTTATCAGTCGCTATAGTTCTACTAATACAGGGTGGGCCAAAAGTCAGTACCCATACGTTGGCCTTTATAGCTCAGTCACTGAGTGCCCAATTTAAATACTTCTTTCTGGTATGAGTTAGTACCACCACTGGTTCGAGGAATTTGTCAACTCGAAAAATATTCGCGTTCATTTTTTTCAAATGGAGGTTCATTTTCACATTTATTTGATAGTTTGGATAGTCGGATCAAGCTAAATGTTATTGAATTGTGTTTGGCCATTCGAATTACGTTTGTCCTGAAAGAATTAGAACTGTAGCTTCTCAGATGACCGAGATATGAAGCATAACGAGTTTATTCATTACGTGTGATCAGGTGATTGGTTTACCTAATCACGTGATAAGGTCCCCCGTTAACTACCCCGTTAAACATTATGGGAATTGTTAAGGGTGCCCAATTAAGGTGTCGTGTCACGGTGTCACATAATCACCCAGTCAATTTTGTTAACGAGATACAGAAAATGCTTGATAACTTCGTCATTTCTAATCCGTTTTGCCTCATGTTTTCAGATCATATGCAACATTTGATAATCTACCGTCTCTGAAAAAATTAGGCGTTCAGCATGTTCAGAGAAAACAATATAGGTGTTTTAATATTGAATGGGCTTGGTCTAAAATATTCGAATTTTCAAATTTTGACGACGGAATCCTCGAACCAGTAAATACAGTATGCCATCTGCAAAGCAACAGCTCTCAAATATAAAACACGGCGGAGCTGTTAAGGCCAACGTATGGGTACTGACTTTTGGCCCACCCTGTAGTAAACTGGAAAACTCCAATTATTATTTAATATTTAAATCGAACTTTACACAAACCTAAAGTAGTCAACAATAAAGATCTGATAAGTCTACAACAACATCAGTAAAACGTATTAAACTCCATATCTCCTAAACAAACAATGTCCGCACAATGAAACATACCAACTTTTCCTCCCTGGAGATCGTGTCCCTGGTTACCAGTCCCACAGACCACCTCCAACACCCCCCTCTCCAGCTCCATCCTCACTACCCGGTGGTTGTTAGTGTCACACACGTACACCCACTCCTCGTAAACCAGTAATCCCTGGGGACTGTTCAGGGTGGGGGACTCTGGGGAGGGGTACTTGTGCAGTATCTCACCACTACTGTTCGTCTGGTGGGGTGGGATCAGGTTATGTGGTAACTAGGTGGTAACTAGGTGGTAACGGAGTAGTAACTAAGTAGTAACGAAGTGGTAACTAGGTGGTAACTAGGTGGTAACGGAGTTGTAACTATGTGGTAACTTGGTGGTGACTTAGTGGCGACCAGGTGGTAACTAAGTGGTAACAGAGTAGTAACTAAGTAGTAACGAAGTGGTAACTAGGTGGTAACTAGGAGGTAACTAGGTGGTAACTAAGTGGTAACAGAGTAGTAACTAAGTAGTAACTAAGTGGTAACTAGGTGGTAACTAACCTGTAGAACACGATTGTTAGCAGTATCGGAGATAAAGAGAGTGTTGCTGTCAGAGTGATAGAATATCTTTCCGGGGTAACTCAGTGTCTTCTTCTTCGAGTTTAAACCCTGAGATATTGAAAATGTATAGCTTAAATCGCAATTAGATAATCCCATTTAGTTACCATAGATACCACATAAAAACATCTGAATATGAAGCAGTTGCTCCCCTAGTAGTAGCAGATTAATACGTACCCCAGCATCAGTGTCAGTCTCCTGGAACAGAGATACAGGCTGTAGTTCAGTAGGAGGAGATAAGCGGACCACATCCTTTACAAACCGACACACTTCCTCAACGTCACTCTCTCCTATTGATATCAGCACTGTCTTACCCTGCGAGGGAGGATAACTCAAGTGAGGGAATTGAAGGGGGGGGGGGCAATTGAAGTATTGGCTAAAACATTATTTTGGAAGAGGACGAATAGTTTTTTAATTCCGCTGTTTGAAATAAACACTAAGTTCTCTCTATTTAGTGCACACAAAGGAAGACAGTGAGAATATCATTCTATTAGGAGTTAGATAATAACTCACACTGGGGTTGATGAGGACTAAGGTAGGCCAGCAGATTATACTGTAACTATTCCACATTTCGTAGTTCTGATCGTTTATCACTGGATGGGTTATCTTGTATCTCGACACTGCACTGGAAGTGAAAATATGTGAAAAAGGTGTAAGTGAAGTGAAAGTGAGCTTAGAGAATTTGTGGTAAATACTAAATCTACTGAGGTCAGCCCACCCGCTGTCCCTTGACCCTTGTCGTGACTGTTTCGACATACTTACTTGAGGATGTTGTCGTTGCTCTTCTCATTACTAAACTTGCCAGAGTGGACCCCGACTACCACCAGACCCTCTGGTACGTGTTCCTCCAGTTTGTGTAGAGCCGGGAGGATGTGCATACAGTTTATACAACAGTACGTGAAGAAGTCCAGTAGTACGTATCTTCCTTTTAAATTACCTGTAATGTGGGTTATCTTGTTAGTTTGTGAACACCAGCCTAACTTTATCACATATCCATACACTGTATGGGTATGTGATAAACTATACAGCACCCAATAGATATTGAGATTTTATACCAGTTTAAAGACATATTTCGGATCACCCAACAAAATTCTGGGCAAAAATCATGATCTGTTAATCATATTACAGTCTATCCCAATAATAAATAATCTAAAGAACGCACCGTGAATAGAAAGGGGTGATGAGTTGACCCAGTCAGCATTTTCTGGAAACTCTACAGCAGACATTGAAGCAGCAGCTAAATGGCCAGCTATGACCGCATCGTCCGCATTTCCTCCCTCGCCGTACAGGGCCTGCAGATATAATATTATAATACTAACAGAATCTATTTACAATGTCTATCGTTCAGAACGTACGATATTGATTTAGGTTTCCCAATTTAAAAAAATATGTTGATGAGTGGTTATTATAATACATATCTAATGATTTATTGCACTGTATTATATTGTTTCATTTTAACTATACCTGCAGAAGCGTCTTAGATTTTGAAGGGAGGGTATCATGGTAACCTCCTTTATCAAGAGAGCCCATCAGTTGAGATCAGGGTTGCGTCTTCAGGCTTAATATCTCGTTCAGTGGTCTGGACAAATTAGTTCCCTTTCTTTCATTTCTAACGGATAATCAGGGATTTGAAGTTTTAAAAATCTGGATCGAGTATTTCGAAGATAAATATTTTGCATCAATACACAAATCTGCAAATTACACAAGGCAAAGTAATAAGAATAACATATTATGTATGCGGCGAAATTATACGATCTGAACGAGGTCCAGAGGTCGTCAGGTCATGATTGATTTAAATTAGTCAATTCTCTCGAATAACAGAAAAATATTACAAAAATGCACAAAATAAATTACAAAACTTAATAAATGAAAGAATAAATTAAGAAAATTAGAGACTATGTCAGTCTCTTCTGAGTGTCTGATTGTTGAACATAACATCCTCATTGGAATGTTGCCTTCTCACGCCACACCATATCGCAGAGTTAAATCCCAGCTCTTTATTCGCTGCTAAGAACAACTTCCCCACGAGCTAACATGAAAGCATAAGGGATTCATCAAATAATCACGTGACGTCACGTTGCAACTCACGTGACGTCACGTTGCAACTCGTGACGTCACGTTGCAACTCAGCCCCTCACTCAACTTCAGCTGATATCTCAGTTCTCTGAAAGCTCTCCAGATCCCTCAACATTACCATCTCTCTCTGTCTCTCCTCCTCTACCTCTTTGTAACACTGTAGGATCTTATCTTCAGTGCTAGCAGCGGACCCTATCTCAGATATCCAATACCATGTTCTCCAGCATCTCTTGGAAAATCTCCCCATCTTCTTTTCAAGCTCAGTAGAGGCTTTAGAGAGGTTCCTGGCAATTAAAACGTGAGTTAATTAAAGTAGTATTGGGAATTTCAGCTAGTATTTCCGATCCCAACCCCTTATTCTCTATTGATACTTTTGCCCTCACAAAACGGTATGTACAAAATTCTTGGATAAATGAATATAAATAAAATTCCCAACATTTAAAAACCAATTCCCGATAATATTTAACATAATATTTAGTACAGAGTACGAACCAGTTCTCGTAGAAGTTAACATAGACTATAGCTGCACTCCAAGTAAGGAATATGCCACAGAGTAAGCCCCTCTCAATCCACCGGTACTTCCTGGCTTTCAGCGAGTGCTGCTTGGCCATTTGCAGCGGTATACCACGCGCCATAGCTACTAGGGGGAGGGGTGTTGTTAAAATCACTGCTAACACCGCTCATTTGCAGCGGTATACCACGCGCCATAGCTACTAGGGGGAGGGGTGTTGTTAAAATCACTGCTAACACCGCTCATTTGCAGCGGTATACCACGCGCCATAGCTACTTTTTTTTTTATTTTTTTTTTATTGAAATCTTTCAAATCAGTCAATTACATACAAGTTTACACAATGAATTAGTTAAATATAATATTGTCCTCTAAGCATGGATTGTCAAAGTTGAAATTGTCTCGGACAAAATGTATGTAACCAAAGGACCTGAGGGTCACCAAAACACAGATATTGAGTGCAAATGCAGCTCCTGCACAAGCATGGGCCCTTATAAAATTGTAATAAGTTACTTTAAACAAAATCACACACCCATTCAATCAATTCATAAAATATTGTGCTGTGAGATGAAATTGAGAAATATGTGAATGCAGACAGCAAGAATAGATAATCTTGAATAAACTATTTTACGGATTTGTTTCTATTGAATAGTCAAGTTCAGAGTCCGAATCCACCGGGATAATTTTCCCCCACATGTAAGTGGAAAGTTTACTTTTAAAATCAGTGATACTCTCTATCTCACGGATATCTAGAGGAATGTGATTCCACTTAGTGTGGGTCCTATAGAAGAAATTCTTGGCAAAAGCGTTGGAGCTTGCTCGAGGTGAGATAGAGCTTACAAAACATAGAGAGTCCATGTGACTATTTCTGAGCCTTGAGTGGCCTTGAAATGGTTGCAAATATGAGGGTAAAGTGACAGGTATATGTTGCTTCACAATTTTAAAGAAGAAGATGAGATCCAAGAAGTCAAAGCGGTCTTCAATCGGCATAATCTTCAGCTGTCTGCATTTTTGAATGTATGTGGATGATGGATAACTCATATACTCCTCGTGAAGAATCCACTTAATAGCACGCTTTTGGAGGCCCTCCAGCTTGCTTATCTGGGATTTTGTGACTGGTCTCCATATAACCGAGCAATGCTCAAATAGGCTCCTCACTAAAGTGAGATACAGTACTCTACGACGATTTACGTCTTGGACAAAATAACAATTTCTTCTCGCCATGCCTAATTTTTGGTTTGCCTTAGAAAGGACTTTGGAGCACTGATCTTTCCAATCGAGATTTGATGTCACAATTACACCCAGATCCTTTTCATGATCAACATAGTCAAGTGTGATTCTTCCCATGGAGTATACAAAGTTAAAGAGTGGTAGGACACTAAGGAGGGAAACTGTTTCGGATATCCTTCCTGCGACGGTGAGGACCTTACATTTGTCGGGATGAAATCTCATTTTATTAGAAAGTGACCAGTCATGGAGATAATCAATGTCCTTCTGCAGTCGCAGGATATCAGACTCCGAAACAATCTTACGCCAAATTTTAGTATCATCGGCATACAGTGACAGTTGTGTGCCTGGTGAAATCCCCACTGATATATCATCAATGAACATAATGAACAGCAATGGTCCCAAAATTGACCCTTGAGGTACACCAGACTGGGCGTTTCTCATAGAAGAAAACTTGCCACTTATCAAGACCTGTTGTTGCCTGTCTCTTAGATAATCAGTGATGAATTTCAGTAGCCTCCCATCAATACCAAATTTGCTCTTTAGCTTAAATAATATAAGATCATGGTTAACCGAGTCAAATGCTTTGGCAAAATCAAAGTAGACTACATCTGTTCTCATATTTTCATTCAGTGAGAGCGCTAGGCTGTCGCACAGTCCTACAAGATTAGTTGCACAAGATCTCTCAGCTCGGAAACCATGCTGTTTGTCATTGATCATGCCATTAGTAAGTGCCAATAACTCATCTCTTATTATGCGTTCAAGAACTTTTGTGATTAAGCATGTAAGAGAAATTGGCCTATAATTTGAAACCTCATGTTTATCCCCTTTCTTGAATATTGGTACAATGTGCCCCAGTTTCCACTCCCTTGGTAGTGTCCCAATGTTGTAGCATGAATGAAAAAGTATTGATATAGGGTATGCGAGCCCAACCGCACAGTTTTTCAAAAGTTTCCCATGGATACCATCAGGTCCATAAGCTTTATTAGCATTAATATTGGAAATGATTTTGCGAACCCTTCTGTGGTCAAATTCAATATCAAAGCGCCAATCATTAGAGTAATCTATATCTATGTCATAAGTTGATGCCTCAGAGAACTGCTCGAAGAAAAAGTCATTAAATAGGTTGGCCTGGTCTTCAGGGCAGTTGCGGACAGTGCCTTTGTGGCTTACAAACTCAGGGATCCGCTGACTAGCTGTCTTCGATTTGACATAGGACCAAAATTTTTTTGTTATTAAAGCACTATCATCAGATTCATTTAATGTTTCCCTCATTTTTTGAGCAACCACATTTTTGAAATTTTTCCTAGCAAGGGAGAATGCAATTTCAGCTCTATCACTTTTATGCCTTTCTTTATGTAATCTCACTTTCTTACGCCATGCATCATAACACTCCGAGTCAAACCATGGATCTTGGCCATCAGTCTTGACAGAGCATTTTTTAACAAATTTATCTGTGACATTGAAAAGTTTGTCCTTAAATTTTTTCCATCCAATTTCAGGTTCTGTGCCATTGAGCAATGCATCCCAATTCGTGTGTCGGAGTTCATGGTTTAGCCTCTCCCAGTTCACAGTCTTAAAGTTATAGCACATACGCCTGACTGGCTTCTTCCTACCAACTTTAACGTTGATCTTAAAATTGATGGGGAAGTGGTCAGACTTGCAAGCACTATCTCTCTCACCTACCATTAGGTCATTAATATTTGACACAGAGTTTGTGAGCAATAGGTCAAGTGTTTTGCCTTTGCAGTGGGTAGGTGTTAGCACACATTGTTGAAGGCCTAGATCAACAAAAGATTCAACAAAAGATTGCTCAATAGGACAGGAGCTGGCCAGGGTAGACCAGGAAACTCCGGTCAGGTTAAAATCTCCTAGTATGAAGACTTTACTCAGTCCTCTTCTTCTGAGAAGAGTTTTCAAAGACTCAACAATTTTTTCACGATTTGCGGAGCCCAGTGTACCAACACGATAACATGTGCATACAACAAACTTAATTCCAGTGGAGGTCTTAAATTCCACAGCAAGAATTTCTGCACCATACTTGAGACGAACTCCCTTTGAAGTTAGATCAAGGTCTGCTCTCACTGCAATCATGACCCCTCCACCATTCCTCCTAAACCGGGTTGGATTAGAAGGATCTGGTGGATGAGTTTTCTTCGATCTATCAGAGCGAAATATCTTATATCTGTCAGGGTGCAGAAATTCACTATCAGCAATAGAACTCTTAAACCAGGTTTCGTTAAGTATTGCAATATCTATCTTAGCCTCATTAAGATAAGTCGACACTTCAAGACATTTAGTGGTATCAATCATTGGATGGGCATTGTTCAGTTCACCAAAAGGGATGAGACCTTGAACATTCTGAAAGTAAACATTCAATTTATTACCATTCCCAACTCTAACACCTATGGGAGACGGCCCTGGGTTTACAATTCCAGGGTTTACTAAAACTATCAAAAAACCATTCATCAAAAACAACCAAATTATGCATCCCGTGAGAATATTGCCGGTTCTACCAGTAAATATGCAATTTAAGTTCTTATGGATTGAAATCTGGCAAAATCTATATAAACCATCGAAACTGTAATTATTCCTCAGATAATACATATTTGCTAAATATAAAAAGAAATAAACTGTAAAGCATCGGCACAAGTTAGGAACTGGGTATGTTGGTACAAAGGCTCGGCAATCATAAGTGACCCTAGAAAAAGCCAACCCACTTACCCCGACATATGTGATAGTGATTAGCGAAAAGTGACATATGAATATAACATAAAAAATATAAAATAATAAGCGAGAATCAATGCAGCTGTCTAAATAATCAAAAATACTACCTGTACCACGTCTACGGTTCTGATGTTTGATGGATTTTGCAAAAGAATTTCCACTAAACACTCCAACTCTAAATCTGTATGTTACTAAATCGATCATGGTGTTTTACAGGTGAGTATACTTGCCAGACTACAACTGCATATCATTAGCTTAACAAGGTTCAGAGGACAGCACAAAAGAACTACTGATAGATATAAGGATTAAAATATCTACTGTGGATGGCACGAATATAAAATCTGGCCAACACACCCATACCTTTCTGAGGATTGGGGTGAATGCCTTTGTTCTCAAATAAGGGATCAAATCTCTTAACAGGCTCACTTAGAGCTCTCTTAAACTTTGTAAAGGGATAAAACACATCCATGAAAAAGAACCTCCTAAATACACACTCATTGTATAAAATCCTATTAAAATCCATTACCCTCTTGTTAGTTAATTTATCGTTATCATTCTGTAAAGGTAATGGCAATAGCGATTGAACATATACCTTACAGTTGGGAAATAATAGGCCTATCTTACCAAAAAGTTGCTTTACTGGTCCCCTCAAAATACCAATTTTATCCCCCACACGCCTAATATCGTTTGTGCCTACGCTGATCAGAAGCTTCTCAACGTGGACATCAGGATGTGCCGTGCAGTAGTCCTCCAACTGTTTCTGGACTTTGTCCATTTTTGCTCCGCCTTCTGCAACATTTACGACTGTGACTTTCCCTTTTCCCAGCTTTGCGGAGTCCAATCTTTGAGCATAAGAGTCTCCAGCAACCAACGTGACTCTTTGCGCAGGTACTTGGGCTTCGGTGCCAGAAGCTGGTGTACTAGTCTCTGTGCTGATATTCTGAGAGCTAACTTGGCCACCAGATTTCACAATAGCTCGAAATGACAGGGAGTATCTTACTTGCTCCGATTTCTTTGGAGGCTCTCCCTTTGTGGCCGGCTCTGCTCGCACAGCATGCCTCAGATTCTGCTGTGTCCCAGGCCGCATTACAACAAGACTGTTGTTCTTCATCCTTATCGTCTTGACACAATTAGGTTTCCCAGTTGTGCCCTCGTAAAACTCAAGCGTCCGTTCACATCCCAGTGAGAAAGAGCAAATCGATTTCTCCTGGTCCATTAGTTTCTCACCGTCATTGTGTATTGAAGTACTCGCTTGGTTGTTTCCATACTTGATGACCAGACATGAGTCCAGAGGTCCAGTTATCTCCGTACTCGAGTTTACAAGACTCAGGAGTCTTTTGATATTAGGGAAACCACTGATATCCTGTGGTGGGTGCACTGGATTTGTGTCAGTGTAAATATAGGGTGCATCCTGTGAGCACAACCAAGCTGTTGTTGCCTTGTGTCTTCCCTCGGTGTTTAGTTTCTGCAGGGACTCACATTCAACCCATACCGCATCACAGAGAACCTCATCCTCGCAGAAGTCCTCTATATGTAACACAAAATTGTCCACCTTTCCCTCACGCTTTGGCAGCTCGTTTTGAACAGAGTTAAGGATATGACGTAGATCCTCAACTGAGGCAGCTTTGACATAGTCGAAAATCTCTTGAAGGTTTATCATTGTTGTCAGAGATTGTCGAGTCTGGCAGCAAAGTTTGCCAGGGAACCATCCGTAACACCTCAGAGTAGGCAACCTCCCACAACACTAAACACGACCTGGAAGGAAAATGGCACGAGAAAATGTGAAATGAAACTGCTGGTCGGGAGTAAAGTTAACTTTGCCAGGAAAATATAGCTAGAGTAAGGATAAGAGGGGCAATATCAGAGATGTAACAATTCACATTCAAAATAAGCTATCAATGAGAAAGAAGTAAAAGAGAAACTTACATCGTGTTTAAGGTGTTGTTGCCCAGTGCAAGCACTGGGCGAGAGGAGCCTAACTCAGGAGGCGAACTTCAGGAACCCCAGCGCACCCGCATACCAGGAGATCGGCTGTACTTCCTAGCCCGTCATGCCATTGTACATGCCTAAATTTATTTGTTATATAGTAGTGTTGTAAGTATTAAAACTAGGGGAGGATGTTGTTAAAATCACTGCTAACACCGCTCATTTGCAGCGGTATACCACGCGCCATAGCTACTAGGGGGAGGGGTGTTGTTAAAATCACTGCTAACACCGCTCAAGGTATTACATCCAGTTAAAACCAAAGGATCAATGCCCATTTGACCAAATGTTGAGGAATAAATGGATATTGCCCCCCCCCCCCCCCCCCTTGATATGACGAGCTTCCACTTGATAATTGAAACGTAATTTAACAAGAAGACTACGTGCTTGTAAAAAATTATTTGATATGAAATTTGATGAAAATATTAATAAATTAAATAATAAATTAGTATTCAAACGTCAAACCATTGAAACCGTACAGTCGCATAAATCTAAAACAAATTTGAATTATGTACTTTTTGATAAACCGTGTGCAGTGCCCTTTCCAGAGGGTTTTTTTAAAAGAATTCTTTAACGTTACTATTTTCTATCTATTACTGTTTGTATTATAATTTTGAGTAAACATTAATCGAGTAAACCGCTCGATTCCCAATCATGTAAAAATAAAAACGCTGTTTTAAAACAACTTTACGTCGACAAGTACAACAAATAATTACCTTAGGACTTAGATTAATACAAGTTAATCTAAAAGTTAATACACAATTACATTGCCCGTTGAGTTGTTGAAAGGCTACTTAACACTACACAATGCACGCTAACTGAAATTCTATCCCATACTGGTATAAACTATAAATGGTTTAACTGCAAGATGGTACACACTTTGTATCAACTAACTGCAAGATGGTACACACTTTGTTTCAGCTAACTACAAGATGGTACACACGTTGTTTCAACTAACTACAAGATGGTACACACGTTGTTTTAACTAACTGCAAGATGGTACACACTTTGTTTCAGCTAACTACAAGATGGTACACACTTTGTTTCAACTAACTGCAAGATGGTACACACTTTGTTTCAACTAACTGCAAGATGGTACACACTTTGTTTCAACTAACTGCAAGATGGTACACACGTTGTTTCAACTAACTGCAAGATGGTACACACTTTGTTTCAACTAACTGCAAAATGGTACACACTTTGTTTAAACTAACTGCAAGATGGTACACACTTTGTTTAAACTAACTGCAAGATGGTACACACTTTGTTTCAACTAACTGCAAGATGGTACACGCTTTGTTTAAACTAACTGCAAGATGGTACACACTTTGTTTCAACTAACTGCAAGATGATACACACTTTGTTTCAACTAACTGCAAGATGGTACACACTTCGTTTCAACTAACTGCAAGATGGTACACACTTTGTTTCAACTAACTGCAAGATGGTACACACGTTGTTTTAACTAACTGCAAGATGGTACACACTTTGTTTCAGCTAACTACAAGATGGTACACACTTTGTTTCAACTAACTGCAAGATGGTACACACTTTGTTTCAACTAACTGCAAGATGGTACACACTTTGTTTCAACTAACTGCAAGATGGTACACGCTTTGTTTAAACTAACTGCAAGATGGTACACACTTTGTTTCAACTAACTGCAAGATGGTACACACATTGCTTCAACTAACATCCCACAACCCAGTACCAGTTCATGCTCCCTTTACAGCGTACATCTGCGTCATCTCCCTCGCTTTATCCTCGAATTGTGATCTGTTAAACTTATACTGGTTAGAGACATCTGCTAGCAGTCCGTCGTCAGGGTTAGGTTCACTCAGCAACAACCGCACCTAATGAAACGAGCATGTTATCAAAATCACGTGACGTCATAATATAAAATCAAGTGACTTCGTTAAAAACCACGTGACGTCCTATAAAATCACGTGACTTCGTTTAAAACCACGTGACGTCCTATAAAATCACGTGACTTCGTTTAAAACCACGTGACGTAACCACGTGACAGTGTACTCACGCTAGTAAGGAGGGTACGGATGTTGTGTACAGGTTTCCAGGAGCCCCGAGGTGGGCAGTGTAACAGATCCAGACACACTCGCCCCGTTTCGTCTATGTTAGGATGGTAAATCTAGAGTGAATATTTTAGGGATATTTTACATATTTTTACATGTTTTAGGGACTCGTTTGTATCAATAATTTAAACAATAAAATAACAAACGGTGTCCTGCTACAAAACACAAAGTGTGATGTTAGCAGTGGGACTGGGAGTAAGCAAACCTTTGTGTCAAATTTAATAGACGGAGGCTCAAACGGGTATCTCTCTGGCAAGGTCATTGATATCTCAAATACTCCTTCCTCATACGGTGTATCAGGTGGTCCTGAAGAAGTGAATATCATTTGATTAATATGTAAGAAAAATTGCATGGATCTGAACAAAAACACTGAACAAATCCAAAACAATTTTGAACAAAGTAATATAAACTGACGATGAGTTGCACTTTTACACTGACCGATTATCTGACAAGAGAAGGAACTAGTGCTGTCACCCCGGAGAAACACACTGATTCCGGGTGCTGGTTCCTGGTGTAACTGTGACAGCTCTTTCTTCAACCGTCCCGCTGATCTTTGTGACATTCTGGTGACAGGAGGGGGAATTAAATATAATCTCATTAATCTTTACAAAGTAATTAGCTAAAATCTCACAAATCTTTAAGTGACGTAAGAGTATTTATTTATTTGAGAACTTGAATTAGAGTACACTGTCCGAGTAGTGGAACGTTTCATATTAGGCTAGTGCAGTGACAGCTGTCCGGAGCCAAGCGTAACGAAAAGGGGAAACAAGTGGTGAATAGCTAAAATTCTCAACCAACAAATATCATTTAATTAATTCATTGAACCAAATAAAAGACATTTAAATAATCAATAAACATTAAAAACTATAAAAATAGTCGAATTTACTCTTAAAAGATCACGGTAATTTCTGGTTTCAACAACTTAACACAAAGCTTTGTCACTAAGAACCGCTAAAATGATAGCTCATAAAACCTTGATCACATGACTAAAATAAATAAAATCCGTTCTAATTCTCAGTCAATTTCTTGCAGTAAACTGAACTTGTTTCCCATTTTCTGATCCTTCTCCATTTCCTCTCCCTCCTCGCTACTCTCGTCAGAGTATTCTTCTTCTTCTGATTCTTCAATCTCTATTTTTGTAGCAAAACTGCAGAAACAGTATTATTTTTCTTCTCATATTTCCTTTCTACAATGTGTATGTACTGCTAATATAATGTACCATGGAAAAAGTAGACTGTGAAAAAATACAAATTGAACTATCTTCAACAACCGTAAACGGAACAAAAGTTACATTTTTGACCACGTAACTTACCTTATCAGCTCCTTAAGGATGTCTTTGTAACTTCCTCCCACCCCTTCAGGAGAGTATTCAGGAGGAAGCAGTCTCAGACAGAGTCGCCCTGTTACCAGGAGTCGAAGTATTGAGTTAGCTCCTCGGTACACATCAGGTCTTCCTGAGCAGACAGTTAATAGGAAACAGATCGCAAACTAGCAACCAGTTAATAGGAAACAGATCGCAAACTAGCAACCAGTTAATAGGAAACAGATCGCAAACTAGCAACCAGTTAATAGGAAACAGATCGCAAACTAGCAACCAGTTAATAGGAAACAGATCGCAAACTAGCAACCAGTTAATAGGAAACAGATCGCAAACTAGCAACCAGTTAATAGGAAACAGATCGCAAACTAGCAACCAGTTAATAGGAAACAGATCGCAAACTAGCACCCAAGAAACATTGAATTTGAAATAGAAGGTCTCTGTATTTGCTAATTGGTTGATAGTTTAAATGATTAGTAAGCATTTTCAAGGGCTACCGCTAACGATTTAGAACAACACTTATATCACAAATTGATCCCCAAAACGTGGATCCTAGCGGGGATCAAACTCAATCTCACATACCTGTTCAATCTCACATACCTGTTCAATCTCACATACCTGTTCAATCTCACATACCTGTTCAATCTCACATACCTGTTCAATCTCACATACCTGTTCAATCTCACATACCTGTTCAATCTCACATACCTGTTCAATCTCACATACCTGTTCAATCTCACATACCTGTTCTAGCGGTGTGATAGCCGTTCTTATCCGCCCACGCAAAGCAGATGTACCAAGCTGTCCAAGGAGCTTGAGGCTCCTCTTCTAAACAGGGGTGTACTATACGGAGGTAGGATACCAGATCTATCCGCTCTGCTACGTACCGGACCACTGAGTACGGCTCTTTCACCTGACAGGAAGGACGTAGGGTCACTAGGGATTACCATCACTTTACTGCAGAAGAGGAGAGTGAATACACAATACATAGGGGTCGTTCACATATTACGTAATCACTTTTTGGACAATTTTTAACCCCCCTCCCCCCTCTGTAATCAGTTTTACACATAACTATTGTGTAAAAATTACACTAGCGTAATCATTTGGAAACCACCTTCCCCCTCGGCAGATTACGTAATATGTGAACGACCCCATATTGTCTCAGAAATGGAAGGGTTCACGCTCAAATTTGAAATAAATCTACAATTTTCAGGGAGAAATTGCCCAATCTAATGCATACCTGAGCAACAGGGTACATTCCTGACAATATCTGGATCTGTTTGGGAGCAATTGTAGGAAACACCAACCCTGGACAATCACATAACCTGTAATCAGAGCTATTTGAGAACTTGCACCACAGGGTTTTTATTTTCAAACTGTTATATGTATTAGGATACAGTGAAACTACCAGACTACGATGAATAGGGACTTGCCACCCCACAGTGGCGTAACGAAAGGCCCTGCTGACCCCGCTGTGCAGGGGGGCGCCGTCTTAGGGGGGCGCCAAATCGTCGTTTTAATGTGGGACAATTTCGAAAACTTAACTAAAGTACTAGCAAAACTGCGCGTTTTGCTCTAGATACACACTTTTTTAGAGATTTTACCGGCGTATTCTCTAAAATCACCTAATTTCTTCAAATTTAGGGAGGGGCACCAAAAGGGGAGGGGGCGCCAACAGGGGGGCGCTTTTTTCGGCAGGGGGGCGCCAACAGGCAACGTTACGCCACTGCCACCCCATGGCAACATAGAATATAATATCGACTCGGTTACATTAGTCGGAGACCAACCGTTCTAAAAGGCCATATCGTTAGCTTTTCGTGTTAAAAGCGATTTCTCGACGGTTATCACCTCTCTAGATAATGCTTAAAACATTTGGCCTTCGTTGCATTTTTGTACTAAATGCAGCAACATACCTTAAAATGCTTATTTTCAGAAATATGGCCGAGAGGCCTAGGAAGTGACTTCCTAGGCCTTTCGGCCATATTTCTGAACATCTGTACATGATGGTTGACATGTGAACTGTACCCTACTAGCCCATTTCTGGATCAATTAAATTCTACTGATGGATCACATCACTACTGATGGATCACATCACTAATTATACGTCACTAATTGGTGATATGACTTGACCCTTGATAATCGGGAGCCCCCCTATGTCGGCCTCCCGATTTATTGAGATTATTGCTTAAGATATTTATAAGTATAACTCCACTTTTGACCTATTTGGCGGCCATTTATTAAATCCATAATTGCACCGGTTGGGGGGGTACCAATGGCATAAAATGGCATAAATGGCATACGTTTTATGGCATAAACGGAAATTTTTATTGGCCAATTCTCCATTTATGCCATGAATTTAGGTCTTCATATTTGACTTTAAATTCGCAAATTATTATTAGTACTTGAATGAGAGACATGTTTCATGCTTTATAACGCTTGGAATGATCGTTAAAGATTCATATGACAAATAAAGAAAATAGAAATGTATTATATCAAAAATGGCATAAATGGCATACGTTTTATGGCATAAATGGAAATTTTTATTGGCCAATTCTCCATTATGCCATTTATGCCATTGGTACCCCCCCCACCGGTTTTTGTTCCAGGGGGTGCGATTACAAAACTAATTGCACTGTTTTGAGAGTGACCGAAATCTTATTAGGTACGATTACTAAACTAATTGCACTGATTCCCTGAAAGATGCTGTAAATCATGGCTCAGGCAGATAATTAGAGTTAGAGAGAGTACCTCGTAAAATGAGGACCTAATTAAAACCGAGTATTTTACTACTGTGAGGTGCTGATTCAAGTATTGACTTAAATCAACTACCTGAGGTAGTTTGGCGACCGTTAGTGCAATGGTCGCACGAAATAAATTTATGGGCACAAATTTAAATTTATAGTTTAGGACAACATCTTTGTTGTGTTTGGAATAAGTCAATCCTTACATTGCATTAACACAACACAGTATGAGGCTGAGATCTCATTAATTATTTGTAAAACAAAAAGTGGCATAACTTATGTTCTGATAAATATTTTTGCTTCTAAATTTCACAGAATGTTAATAACAAGTATCTAAACCTTTGTGGCAAGTTTTGTGTGATTGCGAGCTTCACTGAACTTATTTGAACAATTTAGCCCCTGAGCGAGCTAGCTTGCATTTCTCACCCAGAACTGTTTACATTGGTTAATAGAAACCACCAAAAAAATCCTGGGTAACAAAATAAAAAAACCAGCGATTTATTCACGTTTTACCAATTCTATTCACATGGAGCCATCGCACATTCCATTCTCTCTATATTTTAACTGATAAGGACTATCACAGATGATCCTTCCTGCTTGTTTATATCGTTCTTCTTACATGGAATGTGCGATGTATCATGGTGAATAGAATTGGTAAAACATAAATAAATAAAGATAAGGATGGGTAAACTTTTGAGGCCCACCCTGTATAACAACAAAGTCGGTGCGATTATAAACTAATTACACTGGTTATAACATCAGAGGCGTGGAGTTATACGCGAATCTAACTGCATGTATAATACGATTACACCAGTTCATGCGGTTCTTCGAAGAACTACCATTCTTTGAAACACCTATCCTTGAAACCGAGGACCACGTCATAAATGAATGCCCCAGCTACAACTCCCTCCGGTCCAACCTCTCAGACAACCTTAAAAGCCTCATAATGCTCAAAGAATATGGGGCCATCATGAACTCATTCCATGCTACTGAATTTGGAAAGTACCTCACAGAATCCTTTCACCTTCGACATCCTCCTGAAAAGAAGTCCTAGTTATCACCTCCTATGAAGTCCTAGCAATCACCACCTAACAGACTCTTCAAACCTTCGAAATCCTATGATTAAGTCCTAATCCTCGCTTCACGTCCCCTACTCATCTCCTTCAACGTCCCATCACCTTATGTAGTTTAACATATCTCCTTGGACTTGTTTTTATGCACACATCCAGAATTTCCATTAGCATTTAAATTATTATATTTGATTTTATTTCCACTTCGTGATATTGTAACGCGGTTAAATTTTAAGATTTTATTTTCATACTTTTATTCGGCTTTTGTTTTATATATGAACTTATTTATGAATTGATGTATAGCCAAAACGAGTCCGTTAGTGTTCTCCTTGGTAATTTCAAGTTTAATTCCAGTTTAATTCCAGTTTAATTCCAGTTATTTTCATACTTTTATTCGGCTTTTGTTTTATATATGAACTTATTTATGAATTGATGTATAGCCAAAACGAGTCCGTTAGTGTTCTCCTTGGTAATTTCAAGTTTAATTCCAGTTTAATTCCAGTTTAATTCCAGTTTAATTCCAGTTATTGCACTCGGCTGCGCCTCGTGAAATAACTGCAATAATCGAACTCGGCTTCGCCTCGTGCGATTATTGTATCAATTTCCACTCGGCTGCGCCTCGTGCAATTAATAGTGTAATCGCATTATACGCAGTTAGATTAGCGTATATAATCACTGTTATTGTTAATTAGCGGACTAACATCAGTCGCTCGCTTTTCCCTTTCATTCACGGTCTACAAATAAGTTATTATTGGCGAATGAATTTCCCAAGGGTTTAAGAACAGCTGCCCACGCACCACAGCTTGAGTTAGGTACTAGGCAGAGATTACAGTGATAACTGTTGATTAACCCTTCCAGATCGTAGAGGTCTGCACATGCATCGTTTTCATCTCTCTATGACTATAGTAATAAAGTAATAAGCAATTTAAAGTCATGTCCGTAGCCCGCTCGTCGCACGTCAAGAACAAAAGAAAATCGCGATTATTTAGGCCAAAAATCGCGGCGCCGCGACAAGCCAAACTAGGCGAAATCGCGGCGAAAATCTCGATAATCGCGGCGAATTCGCAGACATTTTCACGGTTCTTCAAGTTAACAAGTTGTTCTTAATCTTAGGCACGTGGTTCTGGAACAAGTAGTCCTCAGTGCTGCACGCCGCCGCTAATGATTTTCCGGCCACGCCGCCGCCGCCGTTTTCAAACGGCGTACACAGCGTGAACCTGTTTATACGCCGAATGCATGTTTCGTAATTTTTTGCAAGAATTTTTTGAACGAAATCCAACATTTCAGACCATATTATTTTCCATATAATTTCTACACGAGTGGATACTGTAGCAGGCATCGCTAATGTCGATATTTTAAAAATTGCTCTCCACATGGCATTATTCTAGGGGAAAATTTAATCTGCGAAATCACGTGACCTCAGCACTGGTAGTCCTATAATGGCATATTATCATTATGTTCGTAGAAATATTTCCTTTACCCTCATAAGTTTTTGTCTATATTATGTTCGCAAAGGTATGTTATATTTATAAAGTTATAATATAGATTAATCGTCTTAACAATTGGTCAATATGTTCTCATTGTTCCAAATATCACTTAACACTTTAACAGATTAACTGCTAACTAACCTTATGCCTAACACCTTTTACATCACATACGTATTATGTTATTTCCTCATCTTTGCCTTTGTTCATGTTAATAAGAGGGCCTCATGCCTCTATACTAGGTATCGTTTTCTGAATGTTTGCAGTTTTCCAGACATTGATTGGGGTGTCTAGTGGTTAACTTTATGTCTAGTGGTAAACTTATGTCTAGTGGTATAAGTTTTTATGTCTAAGTTTTAGGGAAGTTTTTGGCTAACAATGTTACGTCAGCAGACGAGTGGGTTAAGAAATGCTTGTGAAAGTGGATTCCTGGAAACCAATTTTTCCACGGTTCATGCTACCCTGATCATTATGAGCCTAACATATTTTGTTCGGTTTTCTGAAGTCCGTACCTAGTAAGTTAAGTAGTAGTAGTACCTTAAGTAGTAGTACCTTAAGTAGTAGTACCTTAAGTAGTAGTACCTTAAGTAGTAGTACCTTAAGTAGTAGTACCTTAAGTAGTAGTACCTTAAGTAGTAGTAATACCTTCTCGTATCGAGAATTACTCGGACCATAAATTTTCTAAGTCGAATTTTTTCAAAGTTTTTCTGGAAACTAACTCTTGTTCATTACATGTTCATACATGTTTCTTGCTACCCTGATCGTTATGAGCTTCTGAAGTCCGTACATACATTCGGAAGGCTGTGGATGTGATTGGTTCCATATACTTGGCATTCAGATTTAATGGAAAATTCGTAATTTTTCGTGGAGAACTGAAATAATCGCGATTTGTCGCGGAGAATGGGAAAAATCGCGATTCCGCACGTGCCGCGATTTCCTTTTGTCCTTGTCGCACGTGCATTAATTATGAGTAATTAAACTTGCATGTGGTACTGTTTTAGCTTATTATTATATATTTTACCAAAACCCATAATTGGGTAGAGTCGACCGTTGCCAGTGTCTCCCTTTTGCAAACAGAGGGAAATGATATCAATTGGAATAACGGTTATCAAATGCAAAATGATACCGAGAATTAAATCGGTCGCTACAGCAGAGAATTGAGAGAATTGTCTGAGATTGAGAGATAGCACAGACAGGGATACTTCTTAGGAAGTTTGTTCTTGCAGCACCGCCAGGCATCTTCCTCTCCTTCTTCGTAGGGGGCTGTGGTCAATATAACTAATGGAAAGTTCGTGACCACTGTAAGATAGAGCATTGGAGCTAGGGTTGCCATTATCGGTACAATTTTTTTGTCGCGATCATCGATAACTTTTTCATAATTATCGCGATAATATCGGTTATCGGCGATAAATTTGGCAAGATAATAGAAGTAATATTTTTCTGCTATGAATATACTATGCATACTTGAATTATGCTCCTATGCTATGAAACCTTGTTACATCATCATTATATAGTTACAATATCATTAATTGAATTTAATTTCCAAAAATCGGTAAAATTCGAACTTTGAAGATAAAAGCATAAAACGTAAATAGCATTATCATGTGCTTTATTGCTTAATGCTTTGCTATAGAATCAATCGCAATATTGGCATTGCCCTTAAACAAGCCCATATTTCATCGACAAATTTTCTTTAGGCCTATTGTTTGCGTGCTGAAATCTAGGAGATGTTAACTTAATTTGAAGAGCCTGGTTACTTGAAGAGATCGTTAAACGACGCAGGGCTGTTGCTTTAGAATTAGTATGAATAATATTCATAAATAGCGGGAATCGCAATGTAAAATTTACAGATCGTCACATACAGAAATATAACCTATGTTTATATGTTATATTTCCCCAACCGTGCGTTAACCGTGCCATAATGGTTGCTTATGGGCAGTTTGTGCCTTAACCGTGCGTTAACCGTGCCTCAGTAACCCTTGTTCCCCCGCCGTGCCTTAACCGTGCCTTAGTGAACCACTTGTATGTTTATAGGTTATAATTCCCCAACCGTGCGTTAACCGTGCGTTAACAGTGCCTTAAGCGACCATAATGGTTGCTTTTGGGCAGTTTGTGCGTTAACCGTGCCTTAATTAAGCTCTTAAGTGACCGTGCGCGTGCCTCATGTAACCCTTGTGCCTTAACCCATTAGGGACGATAGGGTCGTTTTTATGACCCACCTTTTCTAGACAAAAAACCAAATTACTAAACGATATAACGAATCTATAGCATATATGCTCCAAATTTATTGGGCTACATATAATGAAGCCCAATAAATTTGGAGCATATATGCTATAGATTCGTTATAGCGTTTAGTAATTTGGTTTTTTGTCTAGAAAAGGTGGGTCATAAAAACGACCCTATCGTCCCTAATGGGTTAACCGTGCCTTAACTGTGCTTTAACCGTGCCTTAACCGTGCGTTAACCGTGCGTAGCTACATTACCGAATTGCCCAAATTTTGGGGACCGTTGTCGGCTTGAACTTATTAATGTGGTAGTTTAGTTCACAATGTCCAGTAAAGAATTGTGTTGCTGTTCTTATGCTCTCTTTACCAAGTTTTGGGATTGATCTGGCGAACTTATGTCTCCATACTCGTTTGAAGTGAGTATTGGGCAACGTTCTCCATCTTTCACTCATTTTCCAATGACTTATACTCCGCAGCGCTCCCTTCCATAATACTTTTGGTATTGGTAGTGAGGGCTGAATCCTTGTCCTTCTTCCGAAAGTAGATGTATCCATCAGAGTCACGTAGACCACCCCCATTAGCAAGAGCTCCCGTCCCTTATGTGATCTACGAGTCGAGCAGACATCTTAAAGATCATGTTTACTTCTAAATGTACAGCTATGATGTACAGAATTGACATATGAACTCTACCCTATATCTAGCCCATTTCTAGGTCAATTAAATTCTACGGATCTATGGATCATATCACTTATTATACGTCACTAATTGGTGACATGACCCCTGATAATCGGCCTCCCCAAAATGTCGGTTTCATAAGGTCAAAGGGTCTATTGCTAACAGCAAATTGTTCGCAATTGCCGACTCATGCACATTATATATTCGAAACGCTCAGTTTAGGAGTGATTAGTAGATAACTACTGCATGATTTGTGAAAACAAAATTCAGCATCAAACGTTTAATTCATTCATACCATAAAACCATGATACCAAGAATGCCGGACCTTAAATAATTTGGCACTGGGTCCGGGCTAAATTGTCGCCCGACCGCTGACCAGTGCCACACTTCGTAATTATAATTATGATATTGGTCTGTAATCCCTGGATTGAGATAATATGTTGGCCGCAGTTTAATTTAGCTCATTTCCTATAATACCGCAGTGGTTTAGTTCCCACTTCAGGATGACTCCACATTATTTTTTGCTGTCACATAGCAGATTTTCCCATTGTATGATAATGCGTGTCATTACCTCGTTGTTTTTATAATCAAGTGGTTACCGGCTAGCTCTATAGTTATTACAGCTGCCTTGAGATTTTATCTGGGGCACTAATACTAGAACATTATAACTGTGATCCTAGAACTTCATATTAAGATTACTTGGCCGAATAGCATAGATTCGACCGAAGGCATTCAGGTAATATACACATTATAACCCGTATAATATATGATATAACCCTAAACGGTGTCAAGACTCAAAATACTAAAATAATTATTACCTATTTAATTGGCGTTTTTGACACCAGTTGGGAGTCCAAATTTTCGGCTCTAAAATCATTATTCCTTGGCCAATTTTTTATTTTTTCATGCTGATTTGTCATTTGAAGGCCATTAAAGCATTTGACCCAGCCAAAAAAGTTCCAGTTGTATATCTTTTACGGTTTATGCGGAAAGTCGCGTCAAAGTTGATGCCGTGGTGTCAGTGAAATGGCAAATCGAAATAGTAAGATGTAATTTCGAGACCAGCTGCCTGTAATCTGTATTTTGCTCTGAGATCCAACTTTAAGATCGGAGATCCGACCTGTAAGTGTAACATCACCTGTACTGGAGATCAGATGTTTTCGCTTGATAATAGACCTATAAATCGAATTATATATCCGAAACAGCGATGTAACCACGATTACTATAGATAAGATTTACCAGCTATTGAATATATTGGATATTTATAGATATATTGGATATTCATAGATATCTCCTTTCGGAATTGCCTGACCCCACAGGCAGGCAGAGCATCCTCAATCCTCACGTATACTCTCGTGCACCATCTAGGTCCAACACATCTCTTAAAAAAACAGCTATTGGGCCCGATATCTAGTTTCCCATAAGTAAGAGATCGTCCACGCTAGCCAGATATATTGATCATTTAATCAATAATAATTTAGATTCTCTCCCCGCTCTATAAAAGCCACTTTTACTCAAAGCTAAATTTGTGTACAAATTTCAATTTATGTGGAACCTAAGACAGCATCTCGAAACCTGCTATTTATATATTAACCCCGTGATCCGGATAAGGCCTTAATGAAATTGAGATTCAGAAACTTGTCCACAACCGGTTATCTGAACCTATTATGTTACCTGAGTTCCCTCAGTCGAATCCGGAATCCTGCTAATCGACCAAGCAAGCTTAATGTGAGGTTCTAGGATTACAATTCTAATGTTCTAGTATTAGTGCCCCAGATAAGATCTCGAGGCTAGGGTTGCCATTATCGGTACTATTTTTTTTATCGCGTTAATCGGTAACTTTTTCAAAATTATCGCGATAATATCGGTTATCGGCGATAAATTTGGCAAGACAATAGAAGTAATATTTTTCTGCATTATGCATACTTGAATTAGTATGCTCATAATAATATGCTCCTATGCTATCTAACCTTGTTACATCATCATTAAATAGTTACAATAATATCATAAATGGAATTTAATTTCCAAAAATTTCTCTGCAGAGAATTAGAATTACTTTAATAGAATTAATTCTCTGCAGAGAATTAGAATTACTTTAATAGAATTATCGTGGGCCTTATTCTTTTCTATAGAATTGCTCAATGCTTTTCAGACCCAGTGCTGAATTATTTTAGGTCCAGTATTCCTGGTATTATGTAAGAGGCTTTAGGACCTTCCTAGTTACCAGTCCAACAGCCCATTTGTGAGTATTTTCATGGTTTGCTCGACAAAAATGAAAAATCCTTTTTTCAGCCATAATTCCGAAAATGAACATTTTAAGGTATATATTGTTGCTTTATAGATGTGGATACTGGCGGGGAGGTGATCATTGTTTGTTTACATTTTGGTGGCGCCTCTATTAAGCATCACATCTTCAACCTGCTGAATAGAGGCGCCACCTAAAACGTAAACAAACAATGATCACCTCTTTGACCTGCATAATAGAGGCGCCACCAAAACGTAAACAAACAATGATCACCTCCCCGCCAGTATCCACATCTATAAGTTGTATATAAATATGGTTATTAGGCACATTTTGTGTAGGAATAGTTCCTACGACCTCCCTGGGCCGAAATACAAAAATCCGAGTGACCGCAAAACCCTAGAATCGGGTTTGGCCGAAAACGCCCTCATTGCATTTAGTACAAAAATGCAATGAAGGCCCAATGTTTTTCACTTTTAGTCTTGGACCGTGCGACCAAACTACGAACCTGATTCCTGGCGAGTAGAAAATCGTTTGGAAATGTTTGGTATGTCCTGGCGTCTTAGAAACGCTGACTTTCTTATCTTGCAATATGCCGTTTATCAGGGACGATTTACCCGCGTTCGGCTGACCGATCAGTCCTATCGTCACATAATCCTCGTCACTTGGTTCCCCACCTTCAGCAATACTCGGCTTTTCTGTGGTCGGTGTTTCTCCTTTTATCTCCTTCTTCTTGTCGTAGTGGCATTTAGCTAACTGTATCAAACTCTCTGCTCCGTACGCCCACCCAAGTTTTTTTATCGTTGGTTTCTTAAGCAGTCGTTTACCGGTGTTTTCAACGAGTTTCTGTTCGTCAGGAAAAGCAGAAAAGAGAACGACTCTGATCTCTGGGAACTTATGCTCGAAATAGTTTTTCCAGGAGACAGAGACGGAGGGATGGACCATGTCCACTTTGTTCAGCACTAGAATTACTTGTCTGTCTAGCTCCTCGGTGATGTCTGGGGAATGTTTAATTTAAAAACTCCGCTGGGGTGGGGTCTGTGCCACATGACATAGAGCTGTTATTTGAAGGCCTAGTTTATTAACTGTTCATCTCAATTTCCCCCCTTCGCAAAAACCTAGAGTTAAAACTCACATTTATAAACGGAGTGAGAGAAGTGAAGAGTAGGATATCTGATGTCACATACGAAGAGTATAATGTCACTCATCTCCAGGGTTCTCCACAACTGTCTCCAGGTCTCCAGATTCCGCTCGTAGTAACTTGCTCTACCTGCAGGGGGGGGGGGGGGGGTCAGAGCAGCAATTCGGTAATGTAGCTACGCACAGTAGTAACTTGCTCTACCTGCAGGGGTCAGAGCGGCAATTAGGTAATGTAGCTACGCACAGTAGTAACTTGCTCTACCTGCAGGGGTCAGAGCGGCAATTCGGTAATGTAGCTACGCACAGTAGTAACTTGCTCTACCTGCAGGGGTCAGAGCGGCAATTAGGTAATGTAGCTACGCACGGTAGTAACTTGCTCTACCTGCAGGGGTCAGACCGGCAATTCAGTAATGTAGCTACGCACGGTTAAGGCACGGTTAAGGCACGGTTAGGGCAGGATGTGAAATCTAGGAGATGTTAACTTAATTTTAAGAGCATGGTTACTTGAAGAGATCGTTAAACGACGCAGGGCTCTTGCTTTAGAATTAGAATATTTATATCGCAATGTAAAATTTACAGATCGTCACATTCAGAAATATAACCTATGTTAACCGTGCCTTAAGTGACCGTGCCTCAACCGTGCCTTATGTAACCTTTGTGCCTTAACTTTATTACCGAATTGCCGTGAGAGCTGAGGGCCAAGACACAGCATGTGGTTCTTTAATGGATATTCTCGACTTTTTAGCCTGATTGTTTGCGTTCAATCGACAACCATGTCAACTAGTTGCCACTGTATAATGCTGAAATGCGGCAGAATACATCACTACATACATAATCAACATGTCTTTATAAATACCTAAGTTCTGATAGTACTCGTCCAGTTCACTGCACCACTCCCTGAATTCCTTTTGTTCGGCCAGCTCTAACTTCTGTTTTGACATCGTGTAACTCCATCTGGTTGCAGAGTACACTCGTCAGTTTAAAAATGTCATGAATAGTTCCTTGAATAACAAAAGCTAAATCACCCCGACACAATCATTTACCATAAATTTCCACTCAATATTAATCAGAGTCCATTAACCGCACATAGAACAAACGGGGTCCAGACTCAATGGCGTGAGGCTCTAAGGCGGAGTTCTGAAAAACAGGAAACGTGGTCGTGAAAAAACAGGACTCGTGGTCTCACGCGACGGCCCTAAAGTCCCGGACCAGAACAAACAATTTGACCCACTTTCCACGTTTAGGCATGCCCAAATCCAGAATCTCCATCGCGTAATCCTCGACCTTGGTAACCAGGAGAGATTCATCTAAAGCAGGTAATGGTTTCTTGCTGAGCTTTATATTCTGATCCACCTCCTCTTTAGACTCCTTACCGAACACCAGGCAGTACTTGTTAAGTCGCTCATGTGCGGTACCTGGGAAGAAGTTGTTGTATAACCATATACTGATTACTGAGGTGTGTATTTGCAAGTGTCTCGTTATCTAATCGTTATTTAATGTTGCCATGGGGTGTCAAGTCCCCATTCATCTCGCAGCCCACTAGTTTTACTGCCTCTTAATTCGCCCGACATCTAGAAGACCTTTTTGTGTTTCATTCGGATTTTTAAGCTGCTATATATTTGATCTTAAGGGTTGTAAAGATATTTGGGCGCTACAACTTTGATGCAATTATTCGTATGAATGCTAATTTGTATGGTTTATGGTTATTCACCTAGAAATGAAGGCCGTCAGGCCTAAATTTTCAGATGGATAAATGTCATATTCCCCATCAATTTGGGTAGAGTTGGACGGTATTAGACAGCTTGCATTGTATTACTATGCGAACATATTCCATTAATCCAGGACTGAACACCAACGACCACCTACTGAACCCTATGTCACCTTTGAGAGATCCCCAGTAACCATCCACTTCTCTAAATTAGTCTAGACTCGGGTAAAGAAAACATCTGCCAGCGTTAGCAATGTATTATTATGCGAATATATTCCATTAAATTCTGGACTAAACACCAACGACCACTATGTCACCTTATATCACTGTTTCTGACATGGTGATAATCGTACTGAAGCAAATATGCATCTAAGCATAATGTCAAATACAATTGTCACCATACTCGAGTGAAAAATGCGTCGTTTTCCTGCTATATCATTCCCTAGTTATACCATTATCAACGTAAACCTTTTTCAATAATTCTAAATCTACACTATTTTAAGATAGCAGAATAAACACCGGAGATGGCTGAATCAACCCTGGAGATGGTTATATCAACCCCGGTTACAAACTCAACTACGAATGGCTACAAAGAGACCAGCTACACCCTCTCCAAGAGTTCTAAAGACAATGAGAAGTGTATAAAAGAGGATCACAAACCGCCAGGCAGAAGAGCAGATATTGATGTGATCATGATAGTCCTAACCTTCGGTGTCTACTTGTTCCATATCTGTAAAATGTACACGCCATCTGCATCGCCAGCAGAGGGACGGTATCATGAAGTCCGTTACCAAGGCTTGATAACGACTTCTACGTCTGAAGATCCTTTCACCCCCATCTACCTCGGAGTCATCGTACATTGGTTCGTTGGGTTCATGCAAGCTTGGCACATGCCCATGTTCTTCTATCTGTCCGGGCAGAACACTTACTCTGCTCTGTTCCGGAGATCGGAGACTCAGTTCAGGGACGAGAGAGTACACCGGCTCCTGGTTCCAACTCTGTTTCTGTGTGCGGTCACTGAGCTCCCTTTTACCCTTGCTTACTTTGCTCGTCGCGAGGTTCCTCTAGTCGAGGAATCATATTGGGAGTACGTGAAAGGCTTCTATATACATCCACACTTTCAACAGTCATGGTTTCTTTTGTACCTCTTCATCTACGCCCAAGTATCCACCTTCTGGTTCAGAACGTTTCATCCAGCTCACAACACTGATGAGACCACCACACTCTCATTTTGTGGCTCCAACTCCTGCTGCTGCACAGTGAAACCATTTAGCCGGCTCACTCAGTACTTCTGCTGCCTGAATTTCATCCTCAAGCCAGCTTTAACTCCTAGAGAATTCTTTTCTGCAGTAAAGTGGTATCTGGGTGGACCAATCAGGCTTGCTCTCATACCAGGGATAGTGATAGGAGTTGTGGAGACAGGCCACCGTCTTTACGATGTTTACTTCCCAAACTATCCTATTTTATCTTACTTGGTCATCTACTTGATGGGTTACGCTACAGCAGCGGCGGAGAGAGAGATCAGACAACGTAGCAAGGTTTGGTCCTGGAGTTGCTTCTTGGTTGGAACAGTTCTTTGTTCAGTGTTTGGAGTCGGCATGGTTATTTACGGTAAAGAAATTGAGAAAAAACAGGCGTCCACAAATTTAATAAGCATGGTCATCTATGGTGCATACACTGATAAAACTCGTTTTATAATAAGTTTAATAGGTGGATTCACGAGAGGTTTAGGACAGTGGCTGTTCATCATCGGGTCTATAGCATTAGCGAGAGAAAAGTTCACTACCCCTCGAGATTGGCACCAGAAATGCAGGGTTATGGCCTTGCCTTTCTATCTGATTCATCAACAACTTTTAGTTGGGATCGGCTCAGGAGCTCTTTGGGTCCCTTACCTCCGATCTTTTCCGGTAATGCTTATCATGACCTCCGTCCTTATTATAACAATCACCTACTTTATCACCAAGTCCGGATCTCTACGCTACTTTTTTGGTCTGCCTACTCTTAAAGGATCTTGGTTGCCAGGGAAACCCCTGAGAGGGTTCGTGCCAGTATTGGTGCTTACCGGGGTGGTGCTGCTACAAATGACTTTGGCACGGACTTTGTAAACATGGATGTTTGGTTTTCATTTATGACAGTATAACAAATCAGCATGTTTATGGACCTTATTGGAAGCTTTGAAGTGTTGGGAAGTGTTATGCGATTAGCGTTATTGTGTGTAGTTTTTTCGAGTATCTTCTTGTTATTTTTTGGTTTGCTTTGGTTTTAACAAGTTGGTTTTTATCAGTGTGTCAATAAAATCTCTGCATAGTTTCATATTGTGCTAACTTGGAATGGAGTGTGAGGTCACCAACTTGTAGCGATCAATTGTCTCAATCACCTCCCATACATATTTTACACATATAATATAGTATTAGTTGAAAAGCATGAGATAAGCGGAAAACAAACAGACGAGTTGACTTCAATTTCCTAAGGGATCGTCGAGTGAGATCGTCGATTTCAAAACTTTTAGGAAAAATGTTAAATTCTCAGACATTTTATCAGAGTACGGATATTTCAAAATTATTCAGACAAAAATATCGGGTAATCGAATAACATACTGACAAGTGGTTGTTTCTTAAAAGCCAGAATTCCATCTCCTGTTCAGATAATTACCCAGTTAACCGAGAAATATCTTTGAAAGTGTCATTGAACAAAGAAGTCATTATCACTTCGCGCGATTTCATTAAAAAATGTGAATGTGCAAGTAGAATTGCTCTGTGTAATTAAGTAGAATTGCTCTGTGCAGGAAACAATGTCACCAGGCCAGGTCACGGTTTTTCTACCCATGTTTATAATACCACATTAATTGCTATTGAGTGCTACGTGCGATAATGCGCGGTGAGGCCGAGCTCGGCACAAGATTAAGCCAAGCGTCCGGTATTCGGCAAGCTGCGAAAACTGCACCTAAGACCCATTCGAAATTTAACCTGCTGTATTATATGCTGTACACTAAATAATTTTAGACGATATGGAATCTGTAATTCTATCTGACCACAAGAATCATTGTTTAATGACTAGTGCAGCCGTTATCATAATCACTAATCGGTGCCCAAGCTCAGTGGCCTTGTGTTTGATAATTCTCAGCGGAATCACCTTTTTTGCAAAACGTTTCCCAGTCAATGTTGCCTCTAGTCGTCTCCCTACTGCATCATTACTCAATACTCAGTACTCACTATACTATTATCAACGCTATAACTTTGATGCAATGATGCAATTATGCATATACATTATTATCGTGTTTTACATTTGCTTTGTTGTAATGTTGAATGTAACTTACAGTCCCAACCCCAATGTTTCTGAGTGGTCTAAGTTCGTATTGAAACATATACATTATAGTTATACATTGTGAGATATAAAATACTGTCTAGTTACTGTCTACCACTGCTTGTTTGATGTTTATGCCGTGCAATTCTACTGTTTTAATATGTGTAGTTATATACGCCTTAGCAGGGTCAGTGGCTTACAGTACTAAGCTGCAGTGTTGGATTTTGCTTGTTTAATCCTTCACTCAGCAATTAGTTTGTTAAAGTATTCATTAGGTTTAAATTGTTTTCAGGTGCGTACATTTTGACTCCAGGGCAATTTCACCGTGACATTTAAAAAAAAGTTCAAACGAAGGTCATGCCTAGTTCGATGATTATTTTTCAGCTTACGCTATTTATTCGTCCACATTTAACCTTTTTAAAAGTTGTGTCAAAAGTTCAGACGCCTTTCATGATTAATTTCTGAGCACCCCTGTGACAGACGCGACAAAAATATTACACTTTTTGTGGGTCTTCAGTTGAGCCCAAATCTATCTCAAAAATTTATCTATTGTCTCTAATCTGGACATTCAGGGATAGAAGAAGGTTTAGGGACTTCTAAGATACCATTTTCTTGGAAATTGCTCCATTTTTGTTCGCATGGCGTTATTTCTAATTGTGACAGACGTGACTGTGACAGAATTTTTTCCCGATTTTTCTAAATTTTCCACTTGACACTTTTATTATATTGTTATAAGTAATCCTCAGTATATATCTATGCCAATGTTCGTCCATTTTGGGCTCACCCGAAGGCATCAGTGTAAGGGTAGTGATGATTTCTCTTGAACAAATATCTAACTCTGGTGAAACTTTCATCACGGTTCAATCCATCATACTATTAAGACCGTTTCTCCAAAGCTTTATTGCTTTTGTATGTAAAATGTGGACGATATTGAATTTTTACTTCAAAAAATATGGGAAAATAGGGTTAAATCTAATTTGTGTTATTTTTACTGTTACGTAAAGGAGTCTTTATCAAATACAATAGCAAAAACGCTGTAAATTTGTTAACTGAATTGCATATGATGTTATTTAGCACTCTAGTCAAAATAGTCAGAACTTCAATTAGTCTTACTAGTACAGGGAAATCCGTCTGAAAAAAAAAACGATCTGCCGACACACAAAGCTTACAAAGGATTTTTGACGTTTTTGAGTCCTAATAGATGTCTTTTATGGCTGACCAACTTTTCCAAACTTTTCCACGTGTCTCAAAGCCACTTTTTGCCACTTTACCACTTTTTACCACCTTTCTTGTTTGTCAAATATCTTTAGTTGTGAACATCGTAGAAAGTTGCAGATTAATCGAAGGTGTTCATATTATCAGGAAGAAAAACTTTTGTAGAGACAATTTTTGCCTCAGATAATC